AGGTCGCCGCGGAGGCGGGCAGCGATCGATCTCGCCTGGTGAGGGGCGGGATCAGGGACGGCCACGGCTGGTGACCAGGGACCGGGACGTGTGGTGAACAGGGGACGGACGCGCCTGGTGACCAGGGACCGGAACGTGCGGTGAACAGGGGACGGCCACGTCTGGTGCTGGGAATGGTAGCCTCTGGGTTGAGACTGAAGCCGCACCTTGAGTACGCGTGGATCAATTCACAGTTATTTATTTCGAGTCGCTGTCAGCGCTACAGGTCTATCGAACATTCATGTACGATCAGAATGTAACGGGGCGGAAGACAACAATATCTTTGGATCTTGTGAACATGCACATCTACCTATGGACCTGTTGCAACACCAACTGTGATACATATTACGCATCCTGATCTACAGCGTGAGTATGCTGCCACGGTTTAAGGGCTCGATGCCTTCGGCGATGGAGTGTACGGCGGGCTGGGAGCCGCCGCCAGCCGCCGGTTGGTCGCTGACGTGCGCCTCCCGCGCTGACTGGGCACCTCCCCCGCTGACCGTGCGCCTCTCCCGCTGACGGGGCGCCTCCCGCCGACCGGTGTCTTCCCTCTGACTGTGCGCCTCCCCTCTGACCGTGCGCCTCCCCGCTGACCGGGCGGCTCCCCCGCTGACCGGGTGTCTTCCCCTCTGACTGTGCGCTCCCTCTGACTGTGCGCCTCCCCGCTGACCGGGCGCCTCCCCCGCTGATCGGGCACCTCCCCCGTTGACCGTGGGCCTCCCCGCCGACTGCCCCCCCCCCCCCTCTGACCGTGCGCCTCCCCGCTGACCGGGCACCTCCTCCGCTGACCGTGCGCCTCCCCCGCTGATCGCCCCCCCCCTCTGACCGTGCGACTCCCCGCCGACCGGGCGCCTCCTCCGCCGACCAGGTGCCTCCCCACTGACCGTGCGCCTCCCCGCTAGCCGTGCGCCTTCCCCGCTGACCATGCGCCTCTCTCGCCGGTAGGATGTTCGACGAGGCGAGCCACAGCCCCCTGAACAGCACCGAGGTGCCGCGCGCCTTCCGCCAGAGCATCCAGCCGATGCGCGCGCCTTTAGGGGGGGGGGGGGGGGGGAGAGAGCCGCCGCCGCCCCGCACGCTCGTCGCGACAGCGGACGCCCGAACGCCGGGTGGGGTCGGCTGGGCCAGCACCGCTCAGCTGTAGCGGGCGGAGCGCCGCGCCCCGCGCTCGTCGCGACGGCGGACGCCCGAACGCCGGTGGCGGTCGGCTCGGGCCAGCACCGCCTCAGCCGTGAGACGCTGGACGGTGGGGCGGGCCGGCCTGTGGGTAGTGGTCAGATGCTGGGTGGTGGCCAGCGTTGTAAAGTGCCTTTATTAACGGGACAGGGCCGTGGTGTAGGTAAACGGCTACCGGATAGCATCGGTCGATTAGTGTCGATTACTGTCCACATCGGGTTCGTGAGAGTGAATGCGGTGGTGATTTGTTACGCGATAACTTGTTAAAGTTCGTAACGTGCAGAGCAACATGACTCGCTATGTGCAATTGTGTTGCTGGCGATGTTTCCAGTGTCAGTGACAGACCATACGGAACCAAAGCGATAGGTTAGGCTCAATACCTGTCGTCGATCAGCCGATTCTGTTCGGTTAGTGAGTGTGGTAGGATCAGTCGATCACTGGCCTTCGCGGCTTCCCTGGTGTGTACCAAAGGACCACGTGTACCCAGCATGCCTCAGTGGAACCGTCGTGGTGCTTGTATACGAGCTTGACCTTTGTCACCCGTGAACCTTTGGTGACCCCTCGAGGTGGGGGATAGTGAGTCCGAGAGGCTCACGCGTAACTCTGATTGCAGTTTGGTGGATTGCGCGAAGCATGTTATGCTCGTGCCCCGGAATACGATGACGGTGATAGTGGTACCCATGTAAGCAATATATTGGTATGATCTGGTGCCGCTTCGTGGCAGTCAAAGAATGCGGACTGGGCTAATGATGATGCGTGCGCTACTCTGGAAGACCACTTATGGTTCGCATGTCCCGCGGTATATCGATCAGTATCTGGGCAATGGACGAGTGCCGATCACGTCAGTAACTGTGACTGATGTCGTCGGCGCAGGGCACCAGCGGGTAGACTATGGCGCGCGGCGGCCCGGGTGCCGTCTACGTGAGGGAACGGCGCGCGCCTCTGCTCGGGCGCAAAATGATCACAGTAGTCGACGCGCCCTAAAACTCCAAATAACAACAACAGCACCTCTCCTCGGGCTGCTGGCGCCGTAGGACAATTAATCGGACGTATCGTGCGTTGATTCGAAGCTAACCCGACATAGTAGCTGTGAAACCAGGCTACGACATAGCAGCTACAAACACACATCTGGCTAGCTTCCTTGCATGCCGGTATGCTGCCCATAGATGCAGATGCTTGACTTAACGATGAGTAAAGCCAGGTCACCGGGGTCACGTCGGCGAGTTCAGTTCTCATTTTATCCACAGAAGCACGCGATCTACGACCCTGGGAAGCGCAGTTTTGTGCAGTCCTCTACATCGGATCATATCATGATAGTAATTCACAAGTGCATATCTCCTATGTAATGTCCGATCGGGTCATGTGGGTCAACCCGCGGGTGCGTAAGCCCATTCCGTTCTCATGTTCTGAGCATGGTTCTTACGCAATATAAACAACGCTAAACAGCACGCGAAGAACTGCATGAGATGTTATTTACGTCAAACCCGACTAAAAAGTGAGTAGTGGTCCCGTACGATGTGTCTTCATTTTGCGCAACTGACAATTCCGCCTCATATGTCGCGATGCCACGCAGGAAATCAATTTCAGCCAGTGACGTATCCAGGATGTCGTCCGAGGCGCGAAATCGCGGAATTGATGCACCTGAGTGGGACCTGTGCCTAAAGCACCTAATCCAACAATAGGGGTCCTATAGCGATGGACTGGAGAGACGAGCCTTTGGCTGAAGCGAATGCCCGTCATCCCCGCCATTGTTTCGTGCATTCACGGCTCTGCCGCCGTGCATTGTCTCTGGCGCGGAGCGGTCTCGATTGGTGATGAGAGCAGCTGACGGCTCTGGATGTTTGAGAGAGCAGCTGACGGCTCTGGATGTCGGAGAGAGCAGGCGACGGCTCTGGATGTCTGAGAGAGCAGGTGACGGCCCTGGATGTCTGAGAGCAAGTGACGGCTCTGGATGTCTGGAGAGAGCAGGTGACGGCCCTGGATGTCTGAGAGAGCAGGTAACGGCTCTGGATGTCAGAGAGCAGGTGACGGCTCTGGATGTCTGAGAGAGCAGGTGACGGCTCTGGATGTCTGAGAGAGCAGGTGACGGCTCTGGATGTCGGAGACCGGTACAATGTCTCGTCACCAGCTCAAAGACCGGCAGAATGTCTCGTCACCAGCTCTAAGACCGGTAGAATGCCTTGCCACCAGCTTGAAGACCGGCACAATATCCCGTCACGACCTCGAAGACCGGTACAACGTCCCCCACCAACTTGAAGACCGGTACAATGTCCCGTCACCAACTCGAAGACCGGTACAATGCCCCTACACCATCGTTTGACAGTAGTGAGGTCGTGGCGGGGCCATCCACGCTGGCGTCGCCGCCAGGACAGCACCGAGGGGGCGGCTTTCCCGCCTCGTACCACGCCTGTGCGTGGCTCGAGGCGTCACTGTTCTGGGTGGCAGATAGCAGTATACCTATCTAAGTCTGCCCCTGGTCGACACGCAGCTGATGCGAGCTGCGTTTCGCGGAAGTGGGACACGGTATGTTCATGTCAAGTGTGGAGACACTTGAAGGGCATGCGTTTGTATTGAGCGGCGCCCATCGTCGTGCGCACTCCCAAACGCACCTCAGAGGCGCGGTTGCCGCGAGCGTGCCTTGTATGGACACAATCGAGATTGTAAACAGAGATCTCTGCTGCCAGTACGCCCACTTCTCTACAGCCAGTCCGCCTCACTTCTCTACAGTCAGTCCACCAACTTCTCTATAGCCAGTCCGCCAACTTATCCATAGCCATTCCGCCTCACTTCTCTACAGCGTCCACCACACTTCTGACGACCGGAATGGTGTACGGGTCACTGATATGTATATTCGCTTTTAATGCCAACAGCCACATGACAAGGCCATGCACAGTTTGGGATCGGCTACCGTGACGGAATGCAGAATGGGAGCTGAAAGACAAAAGCCTTTAAATTCTCGACACGTGCTCCAGCTATACAATGGACGAAGCCAGCGGCGCAGCTTTCTACCCCGTACCGCCCCCTCTCCAGACACATGCTCCATGCTCCAGCTATACGCTGGACGAAGCCAGCAGCGCAGCCTTCTCGCCCCCCCCCCCCCCCCCCCCCCCCCCGATGCCGCCTGACAGACCGCGCAGTACGGGACACCCCGTGCACCACGCGATATACACATGTGTAAAGTTGGATACATTCGGGTCTAGGGAGCCGATCCACACACATCGATCGATGATTCGGGCTCCATTGGGCCGCGCCGACGGTCGAGACCATTTGACGCCCAGATCCCTGCAGATCACCACTTCTGCTCACGTTGCGTTGGCACCGCTCAAATCTCACCAGACGACGCCCTATAATATTAGTTTTCACACGATGCGTGCCTTATCATCGGCGAACATAAAACCTCACGCCGGAAGCCCTATGCGAAAAGGCATAGTTGTCGGAAGAGACAGCTTCATACCGCTCGCGATCGCAGGCTTGGCAGGTTCGCCCTAACAAGCTAGCGGTCCGGAACAACGCGCTCTGCGGGACCCGGCTATACATGGGCATCGCCCGGGCAACCTCGCGAGCGCACGTGTAAAACCAATGTACAAAGCGCACCAATCACCACGTCCGAAACAGTCACCGGCCGCCGAAGCCGGAACAGGCAGCTGCACCTGGCTGACCGACTGGCGGAGCGCAGACAGCCGACGTCCGCACGCCCAGCGCGGCTTTGTTGGCGGCACGACATCGGTAGTGTTCGGCCACCGCCGCAGACAGGCCCTTCGCGCCGACTCCGGCGTCCCACGACCCTGGCCCGGCCGCTCAGACGATGGTGACGACGCGGCCGTGCCAGCCGCGGCGCAGGAACTCGGGCCCGCCCTCGCGCGCCGTGCGCAGCGCCTGCATCACCAGCACGCGATCCAGCTGGGCCTGCGAGCTCTGTTCGTTGTCGAGGGTCACGTGCGGCGCGCGCGGCCCCAGTCGCTCCAGCGCGCGCGCCCGGTAGTCGATGGCCGTCGTTACCGGGTTGCCGACCAGGCTGAGGTCCTCGAGGCAGGGCAGGCCGCGCAGCCGGCCCACCTCTTCCACCTCCTGCACCTGGTTGAAGCTGAGATCGAGCTGCACGAGCGAGAAGAGGCGCGCGAACGGCGCCAGCGAGCCGATCCGGTTCTGCGAGAGTCGCAGACGTGCCACGTTGCCCAGCCGCGTGTGCAGGTCCGGCACGTCGGTCAGGCAGTTGTTGGAGAGGTTGAGCTGCCGCAGCGCTGGCAGCTCGGCCAGGTAGCCGATGTGCTCCACGGCGTTGGTGCTGACATCCAGCGAGGTGAGCTGCGGCGCCAGCGCCGCCGCCGTCTCGTCCACGCTGCGGATGTGGTTGTCGCGCAGCGCCAGGTGGCGCAGGCACGTCCAGAGCGGGCGCGCGTCGGCGGCGGGCGCGTCGCGGTGCAGCTCGCCGCACAGCAGCACGTCGCGCACGTCGCGCACGGCGCCGCCGCTGACGCTCAGCTCCACCAGCCGGTCGCGCAGCGCTGCCAGCGAGGCCAGGCTCGACACGGGCACGTCGTGCAGTGACAGTTTGCGCAGCGAACGGAACAACTCCAGCGAGAAGGCGTACGTGTGCGGCCGCACGTTGGAGCGTGCCAGCGGCTGCCATGATCCGGCCACGCGTAGGCTGGGCGTCTGCGAGGCCACGTCCACCACCTGGCTGGGCGCCGTGCTCAGCTTGCTCTCGTGGAAGAACGAGTCGGCGCGCCCCTCGCGCACCAGCCGCGTCAGCCCCTGCACCTCCATCGGCGTCATCTGCAGCTGCCGCTGGCCGCCGACGTAGGCACCCTCGTGCACGAAGCAGAAGAACGCCTGGCGGCGTAGCATCCAGCCGATGTCGTACGTCTCCAGCTCGAGGAACTTGGCCAGCACATCTGGCATGTTGAGCTGCAGCAGTGCCACCACCCGCTTGATATATGTGTTCAGATCCTGGCGCCGCCGGTCCACAAACGCTGGCTCCCGGTTGCCGATTATCTTCTTGCCGGGAAGGAGGTCCAGTGGGATCAACTTGTCAGAGACAAGCTGTGAGTTGAGGTCAGCAAATGCAGAATACCTGTGCTCCACCAGCCACTGGCATGCATCCACTGTCACCTGGACATGATAGAATGTGGTGCTGGTGGTGGTGGTGGAGGATGTTATCTCCACACACAGGTTTCCCTGGTCAGGTTCATGGAATGCCATCTTCCCAACTGGTTGTGTTGGTAAATTGTGCTAGGCAGTCTTCAAACCCTCCTAATATTGAAAGTGGCCCATTTCACTGAATCTTGAATATAGTGGTACCTTTCCTGCAAGGAAATGGCATGTCATGAATATACCAGCAACAAGGCAGAGTGCAATGTCTCAGTAAGATACATTTCAGACCTAGTTGTGTAAAACTAAGCAGCATTATGAATGACCAATCTCAAAGTAAGGTTACCTTAATGCCACAAATGCTACAACTATGGTGACTGAATAAACCATCTTCAGCTACCTTAAAATTGGTAATACATTTTACAAAGAAACTGTGAGGATATATGCATCACAACATGGCATTACAAAAGGTATCTCTGAGGTGTAAATTTGCAGCATCAAACTAAACTAATGACATGGAGCAGTTGAAAAATCATCACCTAGATATATCACACCCAAGCCACAGCCATCAGACATGACATAATTCCTGGTTGACTATGGTCATTAAATAAAGTAATGCAGTGCATAGATGACACTATGCATTTGTGCCTGCCATGCCTGGTAATGGTGGTTTATTGAGTCACAAAAGGTTGGAGTGGTAACTGGCTGGAGGTCAGATTACTAAATGTTAGAGGGTTTCTCACTCCTGCATTAAGCTAGACGGACATTGATTTTTGAGTGGCCTCTGCCCAAAACATTGTTCAGCCCAATGACAGAAGACGGGTGCCTAGAGAGCCCCACACAGAAGACTCCTAAGTACAGACTACATTTCAAAACTAGTCGATGTTTATTGTGATTGCTTCCAATTTCAAGATATTAATGATTTCTGCCTTTAATAAGTCCATGCAGCACAACAAATGAATGACACATGAATAACTAACAATGTTTACCAATATTTTAACAAGTTGACCTAAGCTTATGTCGGACTATACCAAGTCTCACATGCAGACTTGGTCCTCATGCTTATAAAAAAGTAGATAGGCTGGAAAGAGCACCATGAAAAGCTACTGGTACGACAAGTGGGATTAGTGCCTTAGAATATCAGGATAGGCTTGGACCCTTGGGTTTGTATCCATTACAATATTGTAGAATAGAGGGGGCTGAAAGAAGCATTCAAGATATTATAGAAGGATAGGCAAGGTAGGTTTACATGGAGCACTGGAAATTAGGCAGAGACTTGGAGACCAGTTTCATGGTAAAATATAGGAGTAAAACTTTCAAGAGGCAGATGCTATTTAGTCACACAGAAATGAATCACTGGAATGGACTGACCAACAAAGTGGTAGTAAATCACTCTCCGGTACCATTCCAACATCGCGTGGACAAAACATCTTTCTGTCTGAAGTTCTTATTTAAAGCCAAATCAAGGCATTAATTCAGGCAAAAATCCAGGGTAGGTGGTAAGATTAGTTTTGCAGATAGTTTTGCATTACTTGTGTGCAGAACCCGAGGCAGACCAGCCTCGATGGGCCCTTGTGGTGTTGTAATGGTTGGATGCCTTTATGTCTTAACGCCGTGATAGAAAGAAGCATCTTAACATTTCCAAAACATAATGAAGTATAAGCATCAGCTCCAGCACTGGATGGGTGCCCCAAAAACGCTAGGGTACATTCCGATAAATGAATGCATTTAAAACCTAAACCGACTTACCAGTTGCAGGATATGCCTTCCATCACAGACGGGCGACCACCCCCCACGTCTGCGCACTGACTTGACTGATCCGTTGTCATGGGTTCCTGTTTGATACTAAATGGAACAAAATTAGTTACATAACCATAACAGCCACTGATCTCACCAAAATACGTAGCGTGATCACCAGCCGTAGTAATGAGACAAAATAACCAATTTAAGACCAGAAATGTCGATACGCCACCAATTTGACTTCAAATCTGGTAGTGTACACATCAACCACGCATGAGGGCATGAGCAATTACTTCTGACCCCTGCAGTCCCATCCTGCTCGTGACGTTCCTTTTGGTCACGTCACTTGCCGTCTCATCGCGCCACGTAACGTGTTATCCTGCCTGACCCGGACGGGCTCCATCCAGTCCCATCCAGTCCCAGGTCTCGTCCAGTTCCATCCGATCTCACCAGGTCTCGTGCCGGTCCCATCTGGTACCATCTGGTTTCATCCGGTCCCGTCTGACCTCGTCCCATTCCATTCTGTTCCGGCTGGCCACGTCTGTAGCATCCCAGCCAGCATGTCCAATTGGGACCCATATGGGCACCAGTTGGACAGTCATATGGGCCCACCTGGGCTGTCCATTTCGGTCCCATGTGGGCATGTCATGGGCAAACACCTGGGTCCCATATGGGTGACCCTTGTTGGGCCCATTTGGGGCCTAACTGGGGTAAACACGGGGCACATCCAACGTTTACAACCGGGACCCATGATGAGATGGGCAACCGAATAGGGCCCATCTGGGTATGCTATCTCGGGCCCATGCGGGGAGGTCATGGGCGACCAACTGGGTCCCACATGGAAGCCCATGTGGGCCCTTATGGGGCTTAGCTGGGACAAACATGAGACTCACCTGGGCAGCCCAGTTGGGACCCACCTGGGTAACTCAGTTGGGACCCATACGGGCCTGTCCAGCCAGAACCTATGTGACCAGCCAAGATGGGATCCATATAGCTAGCCCAGATGAAACCTTTTTAGCCACCCTAGATGGGCCTCAGCTGGGCTTCACCGATCTGCCATTTCAAATTCCATCTGATTGATTGACCGCCGTGATTCCAGGCAGACCGCTTCATATCATCCATAATAAGTCAGATAAAGTTTATTCACCATGCATTTTACCGAAATTGCCTCGACAACAGCAGCTTTGCGCAGGACATACACTTCCCTGTTATCATGCCCGATGCGACAATCACTAAACCATTCAACAGATTTAAGGTGTTGCCGTTGCCACCGTTGTCAGCGCAATGTTTCCTGCTGTCGTCGCAGTCTCTCCCGCCGAATCCATTTTCCTGGTTGTAGTGTACGCGAATGCACCAGCGGTGATTTCGTAACGCTGACCTTTCTGTATATTAGTTCACCACTACGACGCACCAGCGTCCTCAGCACTACGCGAAATACAGTCTTCCGGTGAACCTTCCCTTGTGCCTTCCTGACGCCTGACGGCCTCATGAGGTACACAAGAGTCCCATTCGGCCTGGTCTCCAGCGGCAGCGCCTTCCAGAAACTGCTCAGCAGCCTGCTAGAGGGTATTCCTGGCTGTGGACACTACCTGGACGACATCCTCGTGTCCGGGAAAGACCATCAGGAACACGGCGCCCGCCTCCGACAGGTCCTGGACCGCCTCGCCCGGTCCAACGTCACCATAAACCAGGCCAAATCCGTCTTCAGGCAGACCACCACCGAGTTCTGCGGCCATAAGCTGTCCAGCGCCGGGGTCGTCCCCGTAACGTCAACCGTCCGCGCCGTGGTTGAGGCGCCGCCTCCCACCAACGTTAGGGAGCTACGCAGCTTCCTGGGGACCAATGGATGGTTCAGCCGGTTCGTGCCAGGACACGCCACGGTCGTCCGACCGATGGCCGACCTCCTCAAGAAAGGCACGACCTTCCAGTGGACCCAGGAACAACAGTTCGCCTTCAGCAACGTGAAACAGCTGACCTCGACCAGCCCCGTCATGCGGCCGTTCGACCCGCACCTGCCGACGGTCGTCACTTCGGACGCGAGTGACCGCGGCGCCGGCGCTGTCCTCACGCAGATCCAGTACAGCAGTGAGGAGCGCCCAGTCGCATACTGGTCGCGGTCATTCACGGAGGCCGAGTCCAGACACTCCGTCTCAGAAAAAGAAGCCCACAGCGCCGTGAACGCGATCGAGCACTGGCGGATCTACCTCTGGGGACGTTTCTTCAAGCTCAAAACCGATCACTCGGCACTCACGACCCTGCTCTCGCCGAAGTCGTCCAACCGAGCAGTGGCACGGATCGCCAGGTGGCAGTCATGCCTACCGCCCTACGCGTACTCCGTCGAGTACAAACCGCGACACACCATCCCTGTCGCAGACGCGCTGTCCCGGCTCCCCCTGCCGGACACGGCCGGCGCCGAGCCCGACGACGATGACATCATCGCCCTCGTCACGGACGCCGCCGCAGACGTGCTTCCCGACGCCGAGATCCAGGCAGCATCGGAAGCCGATCCAGCACTGAAGGAAGTACGTGAAGCCATCCGTACCGGCTGGCCAGAATCGGCGCGCAGGTGCTCGGCGACGCTCCGCCGGTTCTTCGGCGTCCGTCATGAACTCCAGCTGCGCGATGACGACATTATCCTGCGAGGTCCCGACCGTGTCGTCGTACCGGTCGCCCTGACCGACAAGTACTTACAGGTGGCCCACCAATCGCACGAGGGAATCGTGCGCACGAAACAGCTGCTCAGAAATCTCGCGTGGTGGCCCGGCATGACGCGAGCCATCACCGACCTCAGCCGCGACTGCCAGACCTGCCGGACCAAGGAGGCCGTCCTCTCCCAGAGTGCGCGCCCTGCCTCGCTGCAGCCGGACCGAGACCGAGCCTGGACCTCTTCCGGACCGAGCCTGGTCCAAGCTCGGCACCGACGTCGTTGGACCGATTGCAGGTGCGCCACCGTCAGCTCGCTACGCCATCACCGTGATCGACTACGCCAGCAAGTGGCCGGAGGTCGCCCTGACGCCGTCCGTCGAGACAGATGACGTCATCAGCCTTCTCGGCACCATGTGGTCCCGTGAGGGATACTGTGACGAAGTCGTGAGCGACAACGGCCCCCAGTTCACGAGTGCCAAGTTCGAGAAGTACCTGAGCCACCGCGGCATCCAACACCGGAAATCGTCCCTCTACTGGCCCCGGGGGAATGCAGCCATTGAGCGGTTTAACCGCACGCTTAAGACGTGGCTGCTGGAGGCCACCCAGCAACCGTCGCGGACGGCGCAGGCCTTCGCTGCGCACATTAAGCGCCGCCTGGCGCTGTACCGCGCAGCCCCCATTGCACCACCGGCATCTCGCCCTCTGAGAGTCTGTACGGCCGCCGCATGCGCCTTGACCTGCCGGTGATGTCGGCCAACGCGACAGACGCTGACATGCGCACGTGCGTCCAGAAACAACAGCGACGGAACGCGCACAACTACAACAGGCGCCGCGGTGTGAAGAAATCGACCATCCGACCAGGAGACATGGTCCGAGTTCGTCGACCTGGACACACGCCCAAGAACCTGTCGCGGTTCGGGGCGACACAGACGGCGGTCCGGCGCGTCGGCAGCGCGACGTTTCTCCTGTCGGACGGAACGCGATGGAGCGCGGCACACCTGGCGGCCGTACCCGCAACCAGTCCGGCCGTGACGCCTGACGGAGACTCATCTGCCTCCGGAGCCGACAGTCCGCCGCCGACAGTCCGCCGCCGACTTCAGTGGACCAGCACGAGGCTCAGCACGCAGCACCAGCGGCTCGGCCAACCCCGCCCCCGCTTGAGGCTTCACGAGCGGCTCAACCCGTCGCACCAAGGTCCCCTGCTCCAGATGGACTTCAGTCGCCCATTCGAGCCCGGGCGGGCACACCGCGTGGCGCCGGCAAAGAGCTGCCTCCGTCCTCCTTCGACCGGCGACGGTTCCAGCCGCGAAAGCTAGGCAGCTAGGCCGCTGCCGAGCCCCGCTCAGACCCGCGAACCGGTGTATCATTTGCCGTCAAAATTGTTGTCATTCCTTGTTTAAGTGCCGTACGTGCTTCAGCTTAATGTGTCGGGATATGTAGTGTACACGAGTGCAGCAGCGATGATTTCGTAACACTGACCTTTCTGTATATTATTTTACCACTACGGCGCACCAGCGTCCTCAGCACTACGCGAAATACAGTCTTCCGGTGAACCTTCCCTTGTGTTGTTTTGTACACCGCTGTCGCGAGCAAACCGCGTATGACGAACATTACACTGGTGCCTATTCCTTTCTGTTGCGGGAGACGCCGCAGCGCAGTGTGCTGCGCAGGATTGCCCCTGAAAATGGCAATATTCAGTGCCTCAGATCAGTGTCCAGCGGCCTGAGTGTGAGTGATTATTCATGTGCACCGATTTTGATACTGAAAGAGCCGACCTTTTGTTAGATCGTTTACTGAGGTTGAAATAATGAGAACATCTATGCCGAATAGCAGTCCAGAAATGCACAACACATGCACTCTTTCGGGGCATATGTATGGAAAAACTTAACGAGAGGGCACTTACATGGAGTACTTGCATGAAAGACGGCTTGAGTCATATCTTCTTGCGGTCACGATAACGAAATAAAACTCTTCATTACTAGACTGGAGCGCAGTAACTGTCAGATGTCTATATGGGAATGTGATATTGTATCGATAGATCATTTTTTGGAGTGGCTACTTTCCAATCCACTCACTAAAGGATGGGTTTGGGTCGTTTTAGGCACTTAGGCACTCTGCTCCTACAATGGATGGCCTGCGGCTGATAGCAATGAAAGCAGTCGTCGATGATTAATAGCTGCACTTGTTAAGAATGTCTGAAATAAATAATAAAACAGCAAGCTCCCCAAAAACACTGCCAGCCCACTTTCAAAAAACAATTCTGCCACTTCTTTCCTAAGTCACGATTCCAAAACTTGGTTTGCTAATATTCACCCGCGAAGGTGTTCAGAGAAATGAAATATGTAAAATGGGGTTGTCTTTCGTCATGTTAATGTTGTGGAATTACCAATAATCGTGGTAAGGAAATCCTCGCTGTAAATTTCGGCAGAAATGTACGTTAAGTGCGAGCTGAACACAACAAACCAATATGGTACAATACCTGCTTTCCTAAGCATGACGATTCTGGAACAGCACCAGTTGTCTTTGACGGAAGCGTCTGACTGCTGTGCCAGCTGGCTGGCAGACATACTGCTTCCGGGCGACCAGGAGCAGCCTCAAGCAGCGTTCCATAGAAGGGCAGCCGCAGTTCTCAGCAGCATCTCAGGAATACAACAGTAGAACTTTTTTCATCTAGTCAAGTGCTGGGGCTGATACTCATCCCTTCCCCTCGAAATCCACAGCAGCGAACCTCATCCTGCCGGAAAAACACGCAAAAGGGGCGTAAACTGAAAAATACCAATAGCACGTCGCTCGCGTATTGCAAGCAAGCGCATTAGGAGAAACGGGCGATGAGATGTCGCAAATGTATTGTCGCATATGAAAGAAGTCATGCAGGCCCAGGGCCTCGTCTAAGACCTTTCGAATGAGCGTGGGTGGGGGGGGGGGGGGGGAGACATTTCCTATCCATGCACAATGAGCCTCACATGACACTACACCATGGCGGGAAAGGAGTTCATTTAATTAAGGTTCTTTAACTAGGGTTGGGGTTTTCCACGCCACTGGGTGGGAAGGGATGCATAACACTGGAGGGATTTTCGCCCCCTATTCAACATGGGTGCACGGCACCCTGCGCGGCGCAGCACAGCCCTGCGAGTGCACCGGTCGTATCAAACACGCCAAATCAATAAAAAGGAATCCTGCCACACAAAGGCACAATGCACCAAACGGAAATGATTTTGCACAACGCACACGCACCGGTGCGCCCAGCACGCGAACGAAAACACTTCCAGGGTCCGTCCTCCCTACGTGCCAACCTGTCTGGGGAATGCAGCCACCCTTCCCGAGGTGCGCACCGGAACGGGCCCGACGCCCCCCCCCCCCCCCCCCCCCGGCCGCCAGCCGCCATCATAACGACGAGAACGCTGGCCCGTTTGTCAAGCTAGAACGATATTACACATTCACATTCGCGTGTCACATTCCATCTATTCACCAATTACAAGTGAACTTAGCTCACAGATAGAGCTAATTATACCATTGATAAATATACAAGTCATCAAGTGTGACATCCAAAAACGAACGAGTTATTAAAGATTAACATTCAATGTCATTCGAGGCGATTGCTAAGTGAACCTTCCTGGACTCGACAGATTTTAACGAAATTTTGTTTGTTGATAAAACAAAGCATTCCAATTGATAAAGTCACATTTTCCAAATGTGACATTTAAAATCACGCCCGTCAAAAACCATAGAAGTTCAAGGTCACTCAAAATCGGACGCTTTCGATTGCTTTCAAATTCGGCACAAGCATTCACATCGCCTTGCTCTACCTAGCCGCCAGATATTATAGTATGAAATTCAAACGCTCGCCTTCCAGAGGCATTCAAAACTTGAAAATGACAGCCTCGTACGTATTAACATATACACATGGTATGTGAACTAATTGGACGAGAGACTTCTTCGATCACCTTGAAATTTGGCAAAAATGTGTACCATGTACGTATACAGTTTTTCATTAAGTGAAAATTTGTGACATTTGAGTTAACGCATTCCAGAGGCTCTCAAACAACAGAATATATGACGCATCTCTAGAACGACACAGACAGCGTCGTAATATGCCACCAAGACCAAGGAATGCCTAACAATGCATCTCCTATCATGTAATTAGCCGTTGCCTCTCATATGATGTGCCATATGACGATACGGCATGCAAAATGTGACGTACAAATCAAAGATGTCACATTTGATGTCGGGTTTCACACATTGGCGGACTTCTCTGATTCCTTTGAAATTCGCCACAAATATTCACCTTACATGGTTCCACCTATCCACCAAATTTTATAGTATGACGTTCAAACTTTCGCCTTCCAGAGGCATTCAAATCTTGAAAATGACAGTTTCGAACGTGTTAACATATACAGATTGCGTAGCAGCTAAATGGACGAGAGACTCCTTCAATCACCTTTAAATTTGGCACAAATGTGTACCATATACAGTTACATATATATTTACATGCAATATACAGTTATATATTATATAATATACAGTTACATATAATGTGTATACCCACAGTTTTTCACCAGGTGGAGATCTGTGAAACCTACATTCACGCATTCCAGAAGCATTAAAATCTTGGAAATGATAGCTTCGCACGTGTTAGCATATATACATTGCATGTCAGCTAAATGAACAAGGGACTCCTTCGATCACCTTGAAATTTGGCAAAAATGTGTGCCATGTATGTATACAGTTTTTGCCAAGTGGAAATTTGCGACATTTGAATTCATGCATTCCAGAGGCTGTCAAATAATGGGATATATCACTAAAACGACACAAACAGCGTCGTAGGGTGCCACAAAGACCAGGAAAGTTGGCCAAGGTGGTCGAAGGAGTCTCTCGTCCATTTAGCTGCCACGCAATCTGTATATGTTAACACGTTCGAAGCTGTCATTCGCAAGGTTTGAATGCCCGTAGAAGACGAAGTTTTAATGTCATACTATAAGATTTGGTGGCTAGGTGAAGCCATGTGAGATAATTATTGGGGGCGAATTTCAAAGCAATCAGAGGAGTTCGCGAATGTGTGAAAACCGACATCGAATGTGACATCTTTGATTTGTACGTCACATTTTACATGCCGTACCGTCATATGGCGCATCATATGAAAGGTAACGGCTAATTACATGATATGAGATGCATTGTTAAGCATTCCCTGGTCTTGGTGAAATATTACGACGCTGTTTACGTTGTTTTAGAGATATGTCATATATCCTACTGTTTGAGCGTCTGTGGAATGCGTGAATGGAGCTGTCACAAGTTGCCACTTCATGAAAAACTGTATACGTACATAGTGCATATATGTGCAAGATTTCAAGGTGATAGAAGGAGTCTCTCTGCCATTTTAGTGACATGAAATGCATATATGTTAACACGTGCGAGGCTGTCAGTTTCAAGATTTGAATGGCTCTGGAAGGCGAACATTTGAGTGTTGCGATCTAATATTTGGAGGCTAGGTGGGGTGGCGTGATATGAATGTTTATGCCAAGTTTCAAAGCCATCAAAAGTGTCCGATTTAGGGTGACCTCGAACTTCTATGTTTTTCTGCGGGCGTGGTGTTAAATGTCACATTTGGAAAATGTGATTTTATTAATTGGAATGCTTTGTTCTATCAGCAAACCAAATTTGGTCGAAATCTTTCGAGTGCAGGAAGGTTTACTAAGCAATGACCTTGAACGACCGTAAACTTTGATCCTTAATAACTCCTTTGTTTTTGAATGTCACTTAGTGGCTGGTATATTCGTCAATGGCATAATTGGCTCTATCTGTGAGCTACATTTCATTGTAATTGGCGAGTAGATGGAATGTGACACGCGAATGTGAATGTGTAATATCGATCTAACTTGACGAACGTGACGCTGGAGCGGCGGGGACAAATGTTACCAAGCATGGGCGAGGGAACGATCGCGTTATTTGGAGGAGGGCTTAGGGGATCGAGTTCATCCCCCAACAACCGAGATAATTTAGCACTACGCTTGCGACGGTACATGGAATGAGATACTTCAAATGCTTTTGCCCCCCCCCCCCAATTCTTGACAACTTCCGTCGCTCCTGTGAACAGGAAGCGGCAGGGGATGGGTCAGCGCGGCAGAAGCGAGGGCCAAGGTCCGGCGGTGTCAGGCACAGCGGGGCGCATTGGGTGGGAGGGCGGCCTGGACAGGTGGACTGCCGGCGTCGCCGGTGTGGTGTCAGCGAGCGGCACCGTTCGCCGCTCTCGTGGTCCGGCGCAAGGAACATGCCTTGTTTATGTGGAAATCCCCATACTCAATAGCATGCATGCATAAGGCATCGCCGCTGAGCTCCAGGTTAAAATCACGGCTTAAGTGCAGTAGTTTCGAATTAAGCGACAACAGTACGAACTAGCAGGCACTGATCGCCGGTGCTGTGCTGCTGCTGCAGGCAACACTGACGTTGGAAGCATGCTATCGTTCACCGCCAAAACAAGGATTTTAGGGCAAAAAGGGTCTTGGAAAAAGGACTTGCGGATTTAGCAAATTCATACACAGATTTCTCCCAACAAATGTGCGCAATACGCATGATGAAAAGCGCATATGGTAAAAGAACGTGCGACAAGGCTATTACCAAAGATCTCGTAAGGGGATGTTTGTATGGTTTAAAGAACGCTTGCAAAATATTTGGTATGACAAAACGTTGAAGGGGAGGCAAAAGCTACTAGGAAAAGGTTCTGCATGCGTAGAGTGAAGTATAAAATTTATATCAGACAATCTTAAGCACGTTTATGCTGGGAACACAAACTTGCTTGATAAAAGCACGCACGTAAGAAGCACTAGGCGTCAGTGACGCAGCATCGACTATCTGCGTGCAAAGCACTCCTATGATGACGTTTCAGAACAAAAAAATAGATCACCCGGTTAGCAAATTATTCACGCCACCCCTCCGATGCCGCCTGAATACTGTGTGTGAGGGATGGGTTCGTCTCTTAGTCATAGAACTGCGGCCTGGGTTTTTTAAAGAAGCGTGCCTAATGTTTTTGATTTTCTCACTATACGCGTAAGGAAAGTTTGCAATTATATATAGCTAATTTTGGTTGCTTAATGCGTATTTGGGTCTTGCAACATTCTTTATCTATTCATTTTTATCGATCCCGTCGATGCCTGTGCGTGAGCAAATACAATCCTAAAAGACAAACCAATCAGCGGGCAGGAAGGGACGAACGCACTGACTTAAATGTGGCGAGTAACCGCGCGCCAGAGACATGGCCATTACTTTGGTTGCTAGAACTGACTAGAACTAACGATACCTGCTCAATGATGTCGATGTGTTAAGTAGTGTCTATTGCTTGGGGCTACCCGATGACATCGTTATTCCCTACAACCCAAAGAAAATTTGGGGCTGTAGCTATATTTCGTCAGTGGAGACGAATTTGTAGAACCCATTGCCACCAAAATTTGTAAATCAACATTCACTACCATCCTACGTGCACAGTCAAAAATCCTAACTTGACTAGCCGCACTCCCTTTAACTATCCGGTGTTCCGTTGAAACATTATAGTTTGGGAAATTTTCGTCGGCCTAATAATTATAATAAAAACCTCTGAAAGCCGAAAAACGTTCGTCAGAACGTCATTTAAGTACAAATATGAGCTTGGCAACGGCAAAGAACTGTAAATTCCTGGACTTAGTATCGCACATAACATGAAGCGGTACTTTTTTATCTTCCTTCACCGTTACACAACGATTTAAAGTTTCCTGTCGATTCTATTCTTCGAAACACGAAGTAGGCGTTCATGTGCTTTAACACGCTATCTATACTTTGCTGTGGTTTTGAGCCGTAGCAAACCTATTACATTCTGGTGCGACTATGTTAGGGGTTTCATGGAAAATGAAGTAACATGCATTTTTAACGTTATCAGGATACATGGCATGTGACATGCAACCATAGGATGCAATAATTTAAGTTAAAATACACTTTTCCCATTGTCAGGCGACGGCGTCAGTATTCCTTTGGGACGCATTGCATCCTAGATGACTGTTTGACCTGAACATGATCATGCACACATCAGGCATCTGAATTCCAATTTGTGCGTACTCATGTGAAACTGGCTTTGTCGATGAAAAAGATTCGAGGACAAGTGTTCGTGTATCCATATCATACATCTACAAAAAACTTAGGCGCAAGTAGTTTTTTGTAGACAAGCTTCATCCCTGGCAAATAAACAAACGGACGTATCCATCCGAACGTTTACGATGCATACAGTGTCGTGCTGAGCTTTTTTAGACTCCTGCTCTGCCAAGCAAGATTTTGACATAACGGTCTTTTCACACTGCGAAACTGATACCGCACGCAGCCTATCTTGACGGACTTACCGCGTGCAAACCTGTAACTTGCAAACAGTTGTCACTTGGCCTTTTCTCTGCGTACTTTTGTCCATGAGCAGAAGACACTCCTCCGGTGTCATCTGGTGGCTGTGCCATTATCTCCGCTTAGGTCAAAGGTGCGCCTAGAAGAAAATCGTGCAGCAGTTTTTCTTGAGGTAAAATTTGTAAACCTATGTACAGTAAACCAGCATAGACATGCTGAATATCTCGTCATGCAATAAGTTAATCATGCAAAGACTACAAAAGATGCAGCTTGTGTAACAAAATACTCGCCGGGAAACGGTCGCAGCGAACATATGCTGGGCGGTAAGTTAATGGAAAAGTCGCACGAGTTGTGTGTAGGCTAATCCCTTCAGCGGCAAAAATTCGCTGTAAGTATCCACACCTTGGCATGTAAAGTTGTAATGATAGTAGTATGTTTGTACGTAAATATTCATACATCTGAGCCCCTCAGGGACATAGTGTGTGATGTCCGTATTTTCCTTCAGCAAAATACGGACATCACGCACCACGTATCATGCATCACCCATATATTCAAACGATTTCAAATTAGCACGCATCATACATTAAGGCACTAATGACATATGCATAATCGGCCATGATAAGCCCTGCACGGTTAGGTCTGGTCGCCGACTTTTTTTATGAATGGGCTCACTAATTTCCCTTTCTGGGTGGTCCTGTGTTCTGTGTATGACTGAGTTCTAAAACTGACAGGGTCTGTAGCTTTCTGGATTTCAGCCTCAGTGTGTTCTTTAATGGTAGAGAATACACTACGAAATTTTCTTGTATCTTTTTTGCTCTCTCCTGGTTATTTGACGAGGAATAAGGCTATCAGCGCTGTCTCATACATGTGCAATGCTCCTCAGAGCTGCGCCCGACAAATTCCGAACTTTAAAGGTCTCTATAATACTCAACAAATGTTTATAGCGTAGAAAACGTAACACGCATGTGAATAAAGGCCACGTGAAGATGGATTGCACATAAACACATCTAAAACAGCACAGGCTTCAGAAAAAACGACTATCACAGATGTTCGGCGGCGATTTGGCTCAGGCGGCGCTCTCCCCCCCCCCCCCGCACACACGCGCACACACACAACCGCTTTTGTGAAATGGCTTCTGACTGCCCTCCTGCCGAATGGTACACGAAAAATACAGCACCGTTTATTCCTGGTGGGTCTGGATTGTACGTGAATGCATACGAATTAAGAGCATACGATAAATGAAATAAAGGCAACCCTTTGGCGGTGACAACCGATGACATATATTTTCACTCTTTGACTTCGCGGATCACTTTTTAAATGTAATGGTTTTAGCGTCGTCTGCAAAAATCCCCTTGCTCAAGAATGACTTCTAGTTGCAAGATAATATTGAAAGTTTGGCTCCAAACCTATAATAATGCACCAGCACCCTTTCAGAACAACAGCTTTAAAGTGGCAAACACTTAAAGCCATGGTTTATCATCCCTTTTTGTTTTCTTTGAATTATGCCGCATGGGAACTACCAATAAATGCTTTTCGATACGTCCATGTCAATCGCACAGTTTCATATGGATTCACAGTTATACGCTTTAACCCTCTCCTTGCTAAGGGGCACCCTTAACCCCTCCCAAAGTTTCTGAGGATAGCTCTCTGGAACATGCAATCGCGCCGAATGTTTCGTGATCGGATAGCTGTTCGTTGTGGGTGTTTTGACACCAGAAACGCTTCTCTATCAGTCTGATTTCTGAAAGGCGAAGTTTTTGTCGGAATACTGCATGGCGATTCACGGCCGGCGGGGACGGCGGGCGGCGTCTGACGGATCCGCCGATGGTGCACGGCGGCCAACACTGTTACGTCAACAGAGCCAGGCATTGTAAACGTATGCTCAAAACACATCCAACTCTTATATATATATATATATATATATATATATATATATATATATATATATATATATATCTACGATGGTAGTCAAAATCAAACAAAAGCAACGTTTCTATTAAGCTGTATTGTTACGCGCACATGCGCATGCCAAGCTGACGTCGTTCGTCGTTCTCAAGAAAAATTGACATTTGATCTATCCTAGTGGGGTAAAGTATGGACCAAGAGACATCAAACTGGCTGCCAATCGTGAGATTGGTCAATCCACTGAGGCCAAGAGAGTCGGGGTCAATCCGCTGGATTTTTCGCGGTGTCACAACGACCGCTCCCTATCTTCATGGAAAAACGGCGAACTTGGGGCGAACGTGAAACGATGCAATGTGATGCGGTGTCCGAGTACACTCCTGGCTTACAAATCCCGTTGCATACAAGTAAATCGCTTAGCTCATAAAAACTGACGGGACGGTTCAATCGTAAGGAACAAAATGATCAGGCAGCCTTCGTTAGCTAGGAGCACTGATTCCAGGCGTATGACATTGAGGAGACACAGCGCCCAATCGAATACTGTCAAGAGCCGGCTAACCAACCGCACCATCCAACCGCCAATGCCATGAACGTACAACAGCTCTCCACATGCTGAAAGTCTTAGCAGACGGTTGGTAACTGGAATATTAGCTTCCATATAGTGAAACAATTGCGTCGAGTCGCCCATGTCGGACTCCTGACACTAAAGCTGTCGATAAGTCCAAGCATGATCCTCTGGTTCTGTGTTCTTTGAATGCCAGGCAGCTGAAAGAAACTGCATCTGATCAGTTGCATGCAACCGCGAGAAACTCCGATCAACCTTATAGAATACAGTGGTTAGACAGTTAGCGGTGTGCTCGGCGCTGCCGGCCCACTTGGCCAGACGGCCCCCTGACCAGCACCTCCGCACCCCTGAAGGGGGCGCGGAGGTGCGGATCAGCGGACCGGTCATGCCAAACTCCCACTCGCCACTGCTGAGATCTCAGCCGGCGACCGGTCAGCGGGCCGGTCATGCCAAACTCCCACTCGCCACTGCTGAGAACTCAGCGGGCGACCGGTCAGCGGGACACCCGTAATTACCGGGGGAGCTCCAGACGCGAGCAACGATCCATCAACCGGCGAAACATAACAAGGGGGCTCACTCCATTCCCTTAGCGCACAAACTTTCCGCACGGAACACACCAACTGCCTCAAGTGACATGGCAGTGAATCGGTCAATGTTGACGTGAGCTAAGTTCGCCCACGTGCAGTCCATGCGGATGAGATCCAGTCCCTCTTCTTGGTACATGACATGGCAAAAACGGGCCAGGAAGCACACGGTACGAAAATTATTACACACAGTCAATATGATAGCATATGGGCAGCCAATCTGGGTCCCAGATGAGGCCAAGGCACCAACCCGCTGCATCCCATGCTGGCCTGTGACCAGAACGCCCACCCGCGGCCCGTTTGGATCTGAGTCTATGTCGCTCACCCTTCTTACAAACTAGCTTATGCACGATCAGAAAATATCAAACCATGGAGAGCAAAGTCTGAAACTAATGCACTGATGTAAAACATGTCAGCATATGGGCAGCCCATCCGGGTCCGACATGAAGCCCGAAGACCAGCCCACCTGCAGCCCATGTCGACATGAACCCAACTTGCCCACATGCATCCCATGTGAACCTCAACTTGTGTTACTCGCCTTTGCCATGTACTCATTTACACACGATAAGGAAAAATCCAGCGTATGAGCACAAGGTAGCAGGCCTTATGCACCTGCACCAAATATGGTAACGTATGGGCACCCCATCTGAGCCCCACATGGCGGGCAAACACCAGCCCACCCGCAACCTACATGGACGTGAGCATGGAGTTAGCACATGTAAGATAATTATACACCATATGATAAAAACCTGAAAACAATGAATGCAATTGATGTACACGTAACTGTGGATATGACAACTCTATTGTGTATGCAGCATATGGGCAGACCATCTGGGTTCAACATGAAGCCCAAAGACTAGCTCATCTGCGGCCCATGTTGACGTAAGCCCAACTTACCCACGTACATCCCATATAAGCCCTAACCCGTGTTGTTCTCCTTTGCTATGTACTCATTTGTATATGATACGGAAAAATCCAACGGAGCACAAGGCAACAAGCGTAATGCACCTGCACCAAACATAGTAGCATGTGGGCAACCCATCTGGGTACCAGATGGAGCCCACATACCAGCCCGCCCGCGACCTATATGGACATGAGCCCAGCTAGCCCGTGCTCAGTCCATGTGGACCCCAGTCTAAGCAGCAGTCCCGTGTTTTGGAATAACTGTATACAGGATGGTAAACCCAGACAATAAAAACGATTGGTACACACATCAATATTGAGTGTGTGGTTACTTAGTTGCGCATGTAGCATATGCTCAGTCCGTCTGGGCCCCATATTAAGCCTGGATATCAGCCCACCGGCAGCCCATGTTGACATAGGCCCAGCTTGCCCACATATGGCCCACATAGATCCCACCAATGCCAGCATTCCCTCCTGGTGAGTTATTTCTTCTTGACGTGATACATTTCGCCGGAACAGTGCAAGGCACGAACAGATCTGGTGCATACAAAAATATGAAACGATGTGGGCGTCGCGTGTGGGACCCAGCTGGAGCCCAGTTAAGAGCCCACCGGCAGCCCATGCCCACATTAACCCAGTTGCCCCACGTTTAGCTCATGTGGATCCTATTTGGGAATGCTGGCTGGGATCAGACGTTAGTCGGTAGCGTCCGGTACCCTCCGACTCCATCTGACCTTGTTCTGTGTCCTCCCATTCTATCTGATCCCCTCCAGTCACGTCTAACCCCGTCCAATTCCGTCCGGAAAGTGCAGGTCCATTTCGGTTCCGGTCCGGTTCTGTTCCACTCGGTTCCTTTCGGTCCCGTCCGCCCCGTAGCGGCCACGTAGGTGACGGCAAGCGCCCCGATGTTATCATGGCCATGGTTACTTCGATGATTATTGCATGATAACTTTTGGAACTTGCCGGACTCAGACGCCCTTAGTTGGCTATGATTTTGTGGCTCTATGACACCATGGTCTAATCAACATGTATGTGAAATTGGCGGTTTATTCGGCAATTTATTCAGTAACGAGTTCCCATTTCTCTGAAAGGTGTCAAGGTCAATTATGGCACGAGAACATCGAAAATTACCTATATTTTGCAATATCATGTGGCCGTCTAGGTCAAAAGCTGGGTCAAAGGACCGGGAACTCAATATCGCTAAAAAAAACTGCCGGCTGATTTAAAAAACTGCAAGCAATAAATTATGCACAAGCGCAAGATCTTAAGTCCGCCAAACAGTTCAGACTTCTCAAGGTCACAATTCAAAGTCAAAGGCGTGCTCAAAGGACGGAAAACTCAATATCACTCAAAAATTCCCGCTGATTTTAAGCTTGCGAACATCAGAGTATTCACTATAAAAGGAACTGGCGACCTCCAAAAAGTCCTGATCTCTTAAGGTCAAGTGCAGGCTCAAAGGGCAAGGAACTTAATATTGCCCAAAATTTACCGGCCTATTTTAGACTTAAAAATGTCAAAATATTCACCGTACAAAGAACTAGCGTCTACCAAAAAGTTTTGACCTCTCTAGGTGACCCTTCAAGGTGAAATGCGTTTTCATAGGACGGCGAACTCGATATTATCCCAAAATTACCAGCCAATTGTAAACTAGCAAACATCAGAATATTTACCGCAGAAAGAACTAGCGTCCGTCAAAAATTATTGACCTCTCAATTTCATCCTTTAAGATCAAACGCAGGCTCGAAGGACGGGAACTCAATATCACCCAAAAATTTCCGGTCAATTTCGAGCTTGCAAACGTCAGAATATTCACTACGGAAAGAACTAGCGTCCCTCAAAAGTCCTGACCTCTCAAGGTCATCTTTCAAGGTTAAACATGGGCTCAAAAGACGAGGAACTCAATATCATCCCTAAATTACTGGCCGATCTTAAACTTGCAAATGTCAAAATATTAACCATACAAAGAACTAACGTCCAACATAAAGTCCTGACCTCTCAAGGTGACCCTTCAAGGTCAAACGCGGGCTTAAACAACGGGGAACTTTATGCCACCCAAAAATTACCGGCCGGTTAAAAACTTCTTAACACTTGAATATTCACCACAGAGAGAACTAGCATCCGTCAAGAAGTTTTGGCCTCTCAGGGTCATCCTTCAGCATCAAACGCGGGCTCGAAGGACGGGGAACCCAATATGACCCAAAAATTACCGGCAGATTGCAAACTGGCAAACATCAGAATATTCAGCACGGAAAGAACTAGTGTCCGTCAAAAATTATTGACCTCTCAATTTCATCATTTAAAGTCAAACGCGGGCTCAAAGGACGGGGAACTTACTATCGGCGGGTAATTTTTGGGCGATATTGAGTTCCCCGTCCTTTAAACCCGCGTTTAAGCTCTAAGGGTGACCTTGAGAGGTCAGGATGTTTTAGCAGACACTAGCTCGTGCGTCTGTAAATATTTTGATGCTTGCAGTTCTCAAATCGGCCGGTAATTTTTGGGTGATATGATGTTTCCCGTCCTTTGGCCCATCTTTTGACATCGTAGGTTACATGATATCGCAGCACAAAGGCTTTTTTTGATGTCCTCTTGCCATAACTGTCGTTGGAACCTTTTTTAGAGAAATGGAAACTCATCGCTGAATAAGAAGCCGAATAAATCGGTAACTTCACGGGCATCTAATCAGCTGGAATTGTTTGCTACCCTTCAGCATCTTCGCATAATCAGATGACAGCCACAACGATGTCCTTGAAGTTAGCGATTTATTCAGCGATTTTTTTCAGTGACGAGTTCCGATTTCCGTGAAAATGGTTTCAACGTCAATTGTGGCATGAGAACACTAAACATAACCCTTATTTTGCAACATCATGTGACCTTTAAGGTCAAAAGCTGGGTCAAAGGACGGGGAACTCGATATCACCCAAGAATAACCGGCCGATTTTCAACTTACGAACGTCCGAATATTCAACACAGAAAGAATTAGCGTCCGTCAAAAATCCTGACCTCTGGAGGTCACCCTTCAAGGTCAAACGCGGGCTCAAAGGACGGGGAACTTTATTTCACCCAAAAATTACCGGCCAATTTTTGACTTACAAAGATCAAAACATCCCCAACAGAAAGAGCTGGCATCCGTCAAAAAATCTGGACCTCTCAAGGTCATCCGTCAAGGTCAAACGCGGGCTCAAAGGACGGAGAACTCCATATCACCCAAAAATTGCCAGCCGATTTAAACTAACAAGCATCAGGATATTCAACAAAGAAAGAACTAGCGTCCGTCAAAAAGTCATGTCCCCTCAAGGTCGTCCTTCAAGGCCAAACGTGGGCTCAAAGCATGGGGGGCTCAATATCATCCCAAAATCACCGGCCAGATTTAAACTTGCATGCACTATGATATTCACCACGGAATGGTGGAGCGTCCGTCAAGAAGTTCTGCCCTCTGAAGGTCATTCTTCAAGGTCAAACGTGCGCTCAAAGGACGGGAACCCTTTCTATGGTGAATGTTTTGATCTTTGTAAGTTGAAAATGGGCCGGGAACTTTTGGGTGATAAGGAGTTCCCCGTCCTTCGAGCCCGCGTTTGACCTTGAAGGGTGACCTTGAGAGGTCAGGACTTTTTGACGGACGCTAGTTCTTTCTGTGGTGAATGTTGTGATCTTTGTTAAATACAAATCGGCCGGTAATTTTTGAGAGACATGGAGTTCCCCGTCTTTTGAGCCCGCGTTTGACTTTGAAGGGTGATCTTGAGAGGGCAGGACTTTTTGAAGCTCTTTCTGTGTTGAATATTCTCACGTTTGCAAGTCGAAGATCGGCCGGTAATTCTTGGGTGATATCGAGTTCCCCATCTCTTTCTGTGTTGAATATTCTCACGTTTGCAAGTCGAAGATCGGCCGGTAATTCTTGGGTGATATCGAGTTCCCCATCCTTTGACCCAGCTTTTGACCTTGAATGTCACGTGATATTGCAAAATAAGGGCCATATTTAGTGTTTTCATGCCACAACTGACCTTGAAATCATTTTTTTTCAGGGAAATCGGAACTCGTCGCCGAAAAAAAAATCGCTGAATAAATCGCTAACTTAACGGACATGCCACAACGCTGGTTGGCGCGTCCGATGCTAGCTGTGAGGCCATGTAAGGCGTCGTTTGTTGTCGTTATGTGACACGTAAAGTGAACTAAAGGTACTAGAGGTATCGATTTGTGTCTGATGAATTTATCGTAATCGGTTTGTGTGCGCATCGCACGGCTTACATGCAAGATTTGATTTATTCAGGCCGTTCTAGGAAGTATGAGGCATACGCTGGCGGTGCCAGTAGTACAATATCCCCATTTTCTGATTTCTTTGAGCGCGTGTTCCATGTTTAGGGCAATTTCTCTAGAACATGTTCGTTAGTGAGGTAAAAGCCTTATTCATGGCTGTGGTTTTTTGCAGATTGATATAATGGGGTGACATTGAATGGATGGATAGATGTTTAGTTGAACAGCTTGAACCTTTAGTTGAATTCATGCTCAATCCTTTTAGAAAATGTCTATATGCTATTCATATTTTAAAGCTTGGTATGCAAGAATGCAATAACAAAAGGAGCTCCAGAGTGACATTACTACAGTGAGGATGATCATCTAAATCAATATTCTCTTCAGGTTTTGTGCTTTGTGTTACATGAGGTGTTTTTATTTAGAAAAAACTTTGGTTTTGTGCCAGGGGCAGCTGCAGATCCCTTTGGTGAGGATCGGTGTATTCATGAATTGGGGTTGTGTTTCAAGACTACATATATTGCATGACATAGTTGACTGTTGTAATGTGCTGTGTGTCTCACTGTGATTTTTGTTTTTTTCAGATACACATCAAATTGTTCCTGCCATGGAGAGATTACAGCATTTGACAAAGCTTACCTCCAGCAAGTGGTTTGCCACCCTAATGCAAACTAGGCATTATTCAAACAAAGGTCTTCAATCAGATCAGAAGGTATTAATTAGGTAATAAGTGATAAGTTGATGTTGCAACATATTTTCATCTTTTGGTGATGTGTACCTCACTTTTTGGTTTGTTTCAATTGAGTTGTTGGACAAATCCTTAGCACCATGCAGCAGTGAGGTATGGGAAATCTTGAGACACATTTTTATTTAACTATTTCAAAGCTGCTACTTGTTTTGCTTTTTCCAGCACATTGCTAGTCAATCTGCATTAACACTTAACCTGTTTGTCTTCATTTTAGTTGTGCAATAATGTTGGGTCATAATTAAGAATGACACAAATGACAGATTGCTGCCATTATGTGTCACATGTTAGATGGAAGCCTTGGACTTGTGCTGTGTGTGCCCAAAAAGTGCCAAACAGATGCAGGTAAAATGAGGTATAAGCAGCATAAGTCACTACCTTTTCTGATTTTGTCCAGCACTTCTTGTGTAAAGATTCCAGCAGCACTGACCTAACACTCCAATCCCACTGATATGCTCAGCATAGGATGATTGCACCCAATGGTGTTTTCATTGTGTTTGTTACACCCACACATATGCATGTTCCTGCAGGGTAAAAAGCTGGCTGCTTGCTCCTGGACTGGACTGAGAAGGTGTTGCTGTGCAGTGCTGTCAGACCTCTGCTCACTCCTGGACTGGACTGAGCTGCTGCTGCTGTGCAGTGCTGTCAGACCTTTGCCCACTCATGGACTGGGCTGAGTGGCTGCTGCTGTGCAGTGCAGCCAGACCTCTGCTCACTCCTGGACTGGATGGAGTGGCCTCTGCTGTGCAGTGCAGTGAGACCTCTGCTTACTCCTGGACTGGACTGAGCAGCTGATGCTGTGCAGTTTAGTCAGACCTCTGCTCACTCCTGGACTGGACTGAGTGGCCACTGCTGTGCAGTACAGTGGGACCTCTGCTCACTCCCGGACTGGACGGAGAGGCCGCTGCTGTGCAGTGCTGTCAGACCTCTGCTCGCTCCTGGACTGGACTGAACAGCCAATGCCATGCAGTGCAGTCAGACCTCTGCTCACTCCTGAACTGGACCAAGCAGCCACTGCTGTGCAGTGCTGTCAGACCTCTGTTCACTCCTGGGCTGGCCCGAGCAGCCACTGCTATGCAGTGCAGTCAGACCTCTGTCTGGCGTGGTCCGCACCTGTTGTCGTGACGCTCTGTCGGCCTGCGCCAGGCCTACACGCCGCGCCGTGCCGTGCTGTACGTGCCGGGCAGCGACCGGCGCAAGATAGCCAAGGCGGCGTCGGTGCCTGCCGACTGCGTGGTGCTGGACTGCGAGGACGGCGTGGCGCTGAGCCGCAAGGTGCGGCAACACCAGCGCTCGCCGCTGCCGCCGCCGCCACCCACGCCGGCCCCGGCCCGACCGGCGGGCCTGTCACTCAGAGGCGGAGTGCCACTCCCTCTGCTGTGCATGTGTGGGTTTGGGCGTGAATGTGGATGTGGGGGTGAGTGAGATGGGCAGCACTGGGTAGCTGGGCGTCAGTCGGCTTGCCTTCAAAACGGTCCGCGCGGTAGGTGGTAGCATCAGCAGACATGACTATGGTGACGTCATCTAACCGGCAATCTTGTGGTGCTGGCGCCATCCGCGCTCATAGTTTAGCTCTGACTGGTGAGACGTCTCATTCAGGTGCAGGACCACCATTGTGGCTTGCTATCAGCAGCTCGTTCATGCACGTTTGGTCAGTGCAGGGCCCGCCCTGTGACGCATTCATCCGGCGAGACACACTGCTGCGCCGTGCCCGTCGAGGCTCGTTAATTATAATTTTCTTGGCCTTGATCACATGGCTAATGAAATAACAGGATTTGAGTGATCATTGTGGTGTCTAGGTGCTTGGTGACCTCGAAACAATCTCCTCAAAAAAGCCTGCTTATCTTCGCGAGTGGGCAGCACAGAAACTAGAGGGATTTAGACCTCAAGAAAGGCAGGGCCGTGAACTGCACTGAATGATCTTCAAGAGGGCTTATCAGTTCAAAACCCCATACAAATGTGGAAAACTCTCTTTAAGTGCGTTTCTGCTTGACTATTTGTGCCAGTCACCCAGAGTTGTTTGCTTCGCAGGAGGAGGCACGTCGGACAATCCGCGACGTCCTTGATTCTGGCTCCGATGGCTTATCCGGCAAAGACTGCTCGGTGCGCGTCAACTCGGTCGACAGCGGCCTCTGTCACCTTGACCTAGAGCACGTGCTCTCCGGACAGCGGCTGCCCGACACGGTGCATCTGCCTAAAGTGGACACCGTCGATCACGTGACCTGGGTGAGTCGAGAAGTTGTCATCTGTGCATGCGTCCCCCCGCCCCAACGATTTTGGAAATTTTTTTGATAGTTGTATAGTGCTGACAGTGTGATTTCAACTGCAAAAAGAATGTATGGTTCTTTGCTTTCCTTTGGCACAGCTTGGGTTTTTAATGCTTTCTGCTTCAAACTGTCAGCTCTATCGTCATTTAATTTGTGATAGTATGTCTTATACAGTAGCACGCACCACCTAGCAACTATGTAGTGAATGATGATGGGTGTACTCGGTGTGTGGCTTTATCAGCGATGGAGTTGTTTGAACGGTTGGCAGAGAGCTGAATGGTTCGTCTGGATGTACTGATGAGGCGACTGGCAATTTGTTAGTGTAGCTTGGTGCTAAGGGCGGCCCTGCTTACTCTTGGGTTTGTGACTGAGTGCACTCACTCCCGAATTTGTTTCCCCAGTTCATTGAACGGGTCCGGCATCACGTTTCAAGTACCATGTCGCGTCCCCTCAATATCATCCTCTTCACTGAATCTGCGCTGGGCCTTCTGAACCTCAGAGCCATCTGCGAACGGGCACAGGAACTGGTGGCTGGCACGGCGCTGTCGCTAGATGGCCTCGTGTTTGGGTCGGATGACTACTGCGCTGATATTGGTAAGCCAGGGTGCTGATATTATTGTCGCGTGCTTGCCAGTCGGTCTTCAGGCGTAAGACAAAACGTGCGCGCACCGTCGCCGAATGCGTAATTTAGGCATGGATCCAGATGTAATCAATTTGATCAGATGATCCAGATTCAAATCAGTTTTGCTGAAAAGGTAACCAGGAACGTGGCGTTGTTCTGTACCGCAACGGGTGAGACACCCACACATCCCAGAGGATGTGATGTGTGCCAGAGTACTGGAGACACTGCTGGACGACAGACCCGTCGCACTGACGGGAGACCGCCCCGCATGAGTGCTGTTTTGTGATGTGTGCTGGAGTGCTGGAGACACTGCTAGACGACAGACCCGTCGCACTGACGGGAGACCGCCCCGCATGAGTGCTGTTTTGCAGTCGGGTCCCAAATCGATGGCAAAGAACCTTGCGGTCAGGACAACTCGGCGTGGATGTTAAGGTCCGGCGCAAGAAGGGCATGCTGCTCATCATGACTCCGTCCTTTTAAGCACCATTGTAGCCGAGCTTAAATCTGCGGGATAGGTACGATCGTAGCCCCGTTTGTTGAGCACGGATGCTGCTCTCAGTGAGCGCCGTTTTGATATCCAACTGCGATCAGAATATCGTATTGTGCTATATGTGTTGGGTGATAAGTCCAGACAATCTGTGGGGTTTTAGCGCAACCCGTTTTGATTCAAGGTGTGTTAGTGTGAAATTTTGTGAGATACATGCTAGGGAAACGGCAGTGGGTAGGAATGTACCAACTAATAAGTTGAAATGCGTGCAGGATGCTGAACATATAGAATACTGTGTATCGAGGAGTTTCAAACCACCTACATAGGTTTCATGCCAATTCGGTGATCATGTCACGCATGAAGCATGTCTTCCTCTGAATTTTAAATGGGAGAATGTTTTGATTTCATTTGTGTCCTTACTTTTTGGAAGATTCTGTTTAAACGCTGCCTTTTCAAGGTCGTACCGATAATTGCTGCTCCTGGAAAGGTGGTGATTGTCTCGGCTGTAAGCTTTTTACATCGCCGGCATACTGTAGTTGCCTATTGAATGTTCATCTGTGATAGCGTTTTAATACATCAGTACATTTGTGCCCGCGGCGAAACATTGAGAAGTGAGATAGCGGGGTTGCATTGTACACTTAGTCGAACGCTCCCGATTCAGGCGGGCCGTATCGAATCAGCTGCCATTTGTAATGTGCTGCATGCTTAGCTGTTTGAGTCATGCCTGACTCATACGGGTTTTGGACAATTTCTTTTGCCATTCTAAATCGAATTTAAATGAAGCACGAGGTGACTGATACGTGGACTCCAGACCGCGGCTGGCCGTCAGCAGGGCCGCGTGTCACGTGGTCGTTCGTAGTGGCTCTGAAGGCCAGTGACCCGCGCCTGTCTGTGACTGCCATCATCACGGTGTCTGCTCTCCTGCCGGTGTGAGAAGCTCCTTGTCTTCTTCTTCCGTCGCCTCCGTTCCGCAGTGTGACAGAACTGGCAGATAAACGGGCCATGTGGCGCGCCAATATATCTGGGGGTCTACAGGCTACTACAGGCTACTCAGCAGTTATGCTGTAAATGTTAATATCGGGCATTTCGTCGCCTTTCCAAGAAATGTCAGCAAGAAGTGCCGCGCCATGGTTGTACCGAATGTTTGGGACAAGCTTTTAATGCAGATGGGATTTTTCCCATCCTCCCGGTCATTCAAATCGAATGTTTTGTTTGTGCACTGTCAGCCAGTTTCTTCTCCGGCCGTCGCCATGTGTTGTTGGTTGTGAGCAGGGAACTGACGATGTTTGCCTTTAGCCACGTATGTATCACAGCCTTGAATTTTGGCAGTTCCAAGTATTGAACCTTGTGCAAATAACGCCTCCATTGACGAGGCCAAGTCTACCAATGATCGTTCCAAGTGTGACGCTACTACTTATGTGTAACGCCGCAACACACGCAACAGTTGTGTTGTGTAGCGGTGTGTTGGACTTGTACTACGCCACCCGCGCTGCGTGGCCGTACTTTGTGTTGGAGTGCCAGCAGCATGCGTCAGTGTCGGCTTGCTGGAATCTGTTCAGACACGCCGTGCACTAACAAGGTCGCCGCGAGACTGGCGTACCTGCGTCTCCCGATGCGACCTGTCGTGTGTCTGTGTCGTGGCCCCTCTGACACTGGCCGGCCGGCCTGTGTCTGGTCTGAGCTGTGTCCGGTGTCTGCCGGGCATCACCAGCTCGGAGCCGAGTAGCCGCTGTCGTCTCAGCAGTCAGCCCGCCTGTGTCTGGTGTCTGCCGGGCGTCACCAGCTCGGAGCCGGGTGGCCGCTGTCGTCGCAGCAGTCAGCCGGCCCGTGCCTGACAGCAGTCTGTCTCGCGTCGCCCGGCCGGCGGTCGCCTCCTTTGTGTCGCCGCGCCTGCCTGCCGGCCGCCGCCGGGCCCGCCGCCGACAAAGGCCCGTATTTTGGCGCCAAAGCTGACGCGGAACGGCCGTTCGGCAGGTGCCACGCGAACTTCCGCCGCCGGGGAGCTGCTCTTCGCGCGCCAGAACTTCGTCATGATCGCCAGGGCGTTCAAACTTCAGGCGATTGACGCGGTGTACATCGATTACAAAGGTACGGGGCGCGCCGTGACGGGCGGCCTGCAATCTGTGTAACTCGCCGGCCGGCTCGGTAACGGCCCCATTTCCCCGGGCCCACCCGTGATTGGTCCTCGACCAGAGAGAGTCGGTGACGTCACGCGTCAACCCCGTCCCTCCAGAGGTCTCTGGGAAATGACGCGACCTGCAGGAGATGTTTACAGATGTGTGATGTGGTCAAGGAGATAATGTGATCACATCAACTTTGAGCAGAGCAGCGACGAAATTGGCGGGTGATTTGCCACTGCATACCACAAGACGTAGCTGTTTTTCTGTGTACGTGTGTTTCTGATCCATTTTGCTGACCAGAGGAAACAGCGTTTGATAGTGTTTGGCTTTTCAAGATCATAGATCCAGTTTTTCATTGGGAATCGCATGTACGTCTCACTTACGGCGTTACCTTTTAGTTTGAGCGGGCATCGACATGGCGTTATCTTACGTAATGCATTGTGTTGTCGGCTTTTCGCACGCACATTTGGATATATTTTCGCCATTGTAAATGTGTCCTCACAACGCAATCTCCGTGACGTTGTGGGTGAGCGTCTTACGTTGCATTGTCTCAAAGCACATCTTCCTCGCCAAGTAGGGCTGGCATTACAATTTAAAAGACGTCTTTATGTTTCTTTGGGGGTCCATGTTAACCCTGACGCTACTTGGTTCAGTAGGGCGCGGTCCGTGACAGGCGTGGTGACGAAGCCAGCTTCCGGTTCCGCGTTAGCTTTGTGAAGTCGCGGTTTTTCTCCATGTCTTTGGACTTGGTTAGAGTTTTTAGTCATTTTCCGCAACTGTAGTCCGCTTCGGCCTCGTGCCATTTGAAACGTTAGTTTCGGATTTGGCTTTGTTTTATTTTGAACAGTTGGCTTCAGCTTCGTCTTCGAATATTTATGTTGTATTCTTCAGGCTTCGCTTCATGTGATCTTGAATTGCTGGCCTCGGTTTGGTCGTGGTGACTTTCTCGATGCAGTTACGACTTATTTTGAAAAAGCAGTCTTGCAAATCTTGTCACCCTTATGTATTATTAGATGTGTTATGTGTTCTTATATATTTTCGAGGCTGAGATGCATGCATGGATGGGAGCCAGTAAACCAGCTAGTTATTCTCAGTTCTGATCTGATTCTGATCGATTTGACTTTGGCTTCGCGTTTCGTAGCTTCGCAGCCTATGGCCTCGGTGCAGATTTCAGGGCCGCTGCCTTCCGATTCGGCCGCACGTGTTTTCCAAAAATATGAACCTTCTGGATTTAATGTCGACTTTACACTTCCAACCTTCAAGGCCATCGACTTCGACTTTGACGTCGACTTCGGATTCATCGCACCGTCTTGGCCTCGGATCGGGCTGCGGAACCAGAGGCCTGACTTTGTCCCCATGTCTGATCTGTGGGTAGAACTGTAGGCATCCCTCTGCCGAGTTGGACCGGACCGGACCCGTCGGGGCGCCGCACGAAACGCGGACGTCTGGTCCCGGGGCGGCTCGTGTCTGGCCTGCTAAGCCCAAATAACGTTTCCATGGTGAGTGTGCAGGGTTTGCAGGTCTGCAGGTTTCGACTTTGGCGGCAGAGCTAGTGACGTAGAAAAGCACGGCAGGTGCGGAGGTGAACGTTTATGGCACGCCGCCCCATCGATGAAGTTCGCCCGATTTCGACGTCTGTTTTGGCGCCATCCCCGACAGGACGGCTCGGTGCGACCCGCCCGACTGCGCGCCGGCCGCTGCGGGGCGCTATACGCGAGACACATACGTGACGAGCTCTGGTTGTAGCCGCCGTGTTTAGGCTACGTCCGGTGACGGGTCACCGACCACAGCTCCTGCTAATGCCCCGGTCTGACCCCACCGACCTGGTGGCGGCTGAACGTGATACGCAGCACTGCGGTGCGCAGGGACCACCACGTATTTGTCGCGCGCCGGACGCGCTGGTGCGTCACTTCAGTTGCGCGGTATCGCGCCGCTGTGGCACAGGCTGTCGGCCGCTCCGTGCCAGGCGTGTTACAGAAGCAGGCGGCCAAACGGTCCCCACTGTCAAGCTTGCGACTGGGGTAACAGCTGATAATCAGCTAGGCCGAGCTCGCGCTGATGTCACGCACTGGCGCTGATCTCTCCAGTCCCTGGGTCACGCGAGCGGACTGGGTCAGTTTGTACTGAGGTCACGCACTGGCGCTGATCTGTCCAGTCCCTGGGGCACGCGAGCGGACTGGGTCAGTTTGTACTGAGGTCACACACACTGGCGCTGATCTGTCCAGTCCCTGGGGCACGCCAGCGGACTGGGTCAGTTTGTACTGAGGTCACACACACTGGTGCTGATCTGTCCAGTTCCTGGGGCACGCGAGCGGACTGGGTCAGTTTGTACTGAGGTCACACACACTGGCGCTGATCTGTCCAGTCCCTGGGGCACGCGAGCGGACTGGGTCAGTTTGTACTGAGGTCACACACACTGGTGCTGATCTGTCCAGTCCCTGGGTCACGCGAGCGGCCTGGGTCAGTTTGTACTGAGGTCACACACACTGGCGCTGATCTCTCCAGTCCCTGGGGCACGCCAGCGGACTGGGTCAGTTTGTACTGAGGTCACACACACTGGCGCTGATCTCTCCAGTCCCTGGGGCACGCCAGCGGACTGGGTCAGTTTGTACTGAGGTCACACACACTGGTGCTGATCTGTCCAGTCCCAGGGTCACGCGAGCGGCCGGGGTCACTTTGTACTGAGGTCACACACTGGTGCTGATCTGTCCAGTCCCTGGGCCACGCGAGCGGACTGGGTCAGTTTGTACTGAGGTCACACACACTGGTACTGATCTGTCCAGTCCCTGGGGCACGCGAGCGGACTGGGTCAGTTTGTACTGAGGTCACACACACTGGTGCTGATCTGTCCAGTTCCTGGGGCACGCCAGCGGACTGGGTCAGTTTGTACTGAGGTCACACACACTGGCGCTGATCTGTCCAGTCCCTGGGTCACGCGAGCGGACTGGGTCAGTTTGTACTGAGGTCACACACACTGGTGCTGATCTGTCCAGTCCCTGGGCCACGCGAGCGGACCGGGTCAGTTTGTACTGAGGTCACACACACTGGTGCTGATCTGTCCAGTCCTTGGGGCACGCCGAGCGGACTGGGTCAGTCTGTACCGAGGTCACGCACTGGCGCTGATCTGTCCAGTCCGTGAGGCACGCGAGCGGACTGGGTCAGTCTGTACCGAGGTCACGCACTGGCGCTGATCTGTCCAGTCCTTGAGGCACGCCAGCCGACTGGGTCAGTTTGTACTGAGGTCACACACACTGGTGCTGATCTGTCCAGTTCCTGGGTCACGCGAGCGGACCGGGTCAGTCTGTACTGAGGTCACGCACTGGTGCTGATCTGTCCAGCCCCTGCGTCACAGAAGTGGACCAGGCCAGTTTCGAACGCGCGCCACTCAATCATCGCCAGTGCTGGGAAGTCTCGCCCTTCTTCAGTTCTAGCATACAGGCAGTTCCGAAGGGTTTCCGTCCACTTTATCGCCGTCCGTAGCGTCACCGATGCTCCTTATCAGTTTGTGATTTGTGCGGTTGACGTTGTGCGGTTAACGTCAGCTGCACAAGCTCCGTCCGTTTCTTCCAGATGGAGTTTGCGTGTCATCCTGTGTCTCAATGTGGAACGCGTACACTTCTGCTTTCCAGGGTGCCTGGATAATGAGAGAAGCACCGGTCTGCGTTATCAGAGGAGGGTGCCGCGTTCTTTGACTGGTCGACGGGCCTGGATTGCTTATTTTAGTTTGGTTCAGACAGCAAGCGAATCACTGCGTGCTGCCAACGGTCCCATGCGTCCTACGAGGGCTTGGGAAAAGGCACAGCGCAAAATCGTGGATCAGCGGGCTTGCAGCACGCGGACCACTCACTGGGTGAACGCACCCTCGCTTACACTTGAACACTGCTGCCAGCCGTTGTTTGTTGGCCTGATCCAAGCTCTCGCGAGCCACAGCGTTGCGCGAGAGTAGCATGCGCAAGGGACCTGCTGCTCGTGGTACCGGGCTCTATTCTGCCTCCACCTTGGTATGATGGTATCCTATTTCAAAATTCTAGTTGGCATTCTTCTGCTGTTTTCCTTGGCGCCAATGTGACTCCATTGGTACTAACTGATTGCTGTATTCTGGCCACAGGCTGCTAATGCGTCCGGATGTTTCGAGATTGCGCCACCTCTTATGATGATCACAGTGTTCATGCTGAACACTCGCAGTCTTACAGGCATATGCCCACTGTCCATCGCCGTCCAGGGGCTGCGGGGACTAATGGCACCTGCAGTGTGGAGCGACCTAAAGTTAGCGTAAATGACAACCGCAGTCTTATCTTCTTTTGCATAGTGGTTAAAGCGTATGAGAATTCGACGTCTAAATCGCTTTCAGAAGACATCAGTGTGTCCTATCTGTGTTATTTTTGATAATTTGTTGCCCAGATTTCCATGTATGCAGATCTTCGTACATGCTTTTCCATCATCCAAGTTTGACGAAGTAGCTTTTATTCCGCCCTTCTGTTCAGAACACCTACTTGGAACGGAACTCTCACGAGCTACTGGCGGTGGTATTGTGTTTTAGTCTATTCTTTTTTAAAAGGTGGTATGCCACCTTTGTGTATATTTCGCTTATTATTAGGTTATACGCGTGCGCTTTGATCAGTTATGCCAGTTTTGTCGAAGTCGTTCTGAACATACTTCGGGATATATCACTGTCAAATTGTGGTTAAGATGCGGGGGACCCTCTTTTTTGGGACAACGGATGTTAACTGATATTAACAGATACCAACAGATATTAACGGAGTGACCACCACCCTGTCTGCAGACCTGGACGGCCAGCTGGTCACTGGCCGCCACCCTGTCGGCAGACCTGGACGGCCAGCGGGTCACTGACCGCCGCCCTGTCTGCAGACCTGGACGGCCAGCGGGTCACTGACCGCCGGCCTGTCTGCAGACCTGGACGGCCAGCGGGTCACTGACCGCCGCCCTGTCTGCAGACCGGACGGCCAGCGGGTCACTGACCGCCGCCCTGTCTGCAGACCTGGACGGCAGCGGGTCACTGACCGCCGCCCTGTCTGCAGACCTGGACGGCCAGCGGGTCACTGACCGCCGCCCTGTCTGCAGACCTGGACGGCCAGCGGGTCACTGACCGCCGCCCTGTCTGCCAGGAGCTCTGGACGGCCAGGGGTCACTGACCGCCGCCCTGTCTGCGACCTGGACGGCCAGCGGGTCACTGACCGCCGCCTGTATGCAGACCTCGACGGCCCTGCGGGTCACTGACCGCCGCCCTGTCTGCAGACCCGGACGGCCAGCGGGTCACTGACCGCCGCCCTGTCTGCAGACCCGGACGGCCAGCGGGGTCACTGACCGCCGCCCTGTCTGCAGACCTGGACGGCCTGCGCCGTCAAGCGGAGGAGGGGTGCCCAGTTCGGCTTCACCGGGAGCAGGTGATCCATCCGGACCAGGTGCCCGTCGTGCAGCGTGCCTTCTCGCCGTCGGCGCAGCGCGCTGAGTGGGCCGCCCAGTTGGTGGAGGCGTTCGAGCAGCACCAGCGCTCGGGCCAGGTGAGCCGGCCACCGGCGGACCGTGGGGGCCCAGCCAGGGCTGGCGGCGGATGGGAGGTGGGGCGTCTCCACCGCATGCTCTCTGGGACCAGGGAGCATGCTCCATGAACATGTGACGTCAACGACTTAAGGTGACGTAGCAACGACGCATTTCAGCCAGCACGCGCTCAGAAGACGTTGTGCCGGTTAGGCGGCGGACATGCCGCTCGTGTACCCGATTCCGCGCTGTACGCATGTTTTCCGGCCCCGCCTGCGGTGTTCGCCGGCTCTCCGCCCGGTCGCATCGCGCCCCTCCGCACCGTCGGTGCGCGGCGTCGTCCTGCGTCACAGCTCGGTGCGCTCCGGTGTGTCCGGCGCGTCAGGCCCAATAGCCCGGGCTCTGGCCGAGGAGCCGGAGGCGGCTGGGTGCCGGCTCACCTCTCACATCCTCCCCGTACGCTGCAAGAGCTGGCGGAGGCGTGTCGGGGCTGATCCACGTTCAGCCCACCGCCTGCGTCCTCCGAGAGCGGGCGGTAGGGTGTTTGGGTGCCCCGAGTCCAGTCGAGTGCGGCTCCCCCATGAGCGGCCGCTAGGGTGTCTGGGTGCCCTCCGCCCAGCCGAGTGCGGCTCCTGCTGAGCGAATGTGGCGTGTGTCCGGCAGGGCGCCTTCACGTTCCGGGGACACATGGTGGACCGGCCGTTGCTGCTGCAGGCCCACAATGTGCTGCGGCTGGCGTCAGTCGGCGGCGGTGAGCGGTGACGCGTCGTCGTCGCCAGACTCCACAGCGGTGACGCGTCGCCGCCCCGCCGTCGCCAGACCCCACAGCGGTGACGCGTCGCCGCCCCGTCGCCGCCAGACTCCACAGCGGTGACGCGTCGCCGCCCCGCCGTCGCCAGACCCCACAGCGGTGACGCGTCGCCGCCCCGCCGCCACCAGACTCCACAGCGGTGACGCGTCGCCGCTGCCGCCGCCGTCAGACTCGGCGGCGGGGCGGCTGTTCGTGGCACCCGCCGGCCGCCGGCGCCACGCTGTGGAGCTTGACCGTAGCCCGGTGGCTCGTCACCCGGCTGACGTAGTCAGGCGCGCGTGGGGGAGGGGTAGGGCGTGTGGACGGTGTCGGACTGCCGTCTCGTGCACGTGGCATCGGCGGATGGGTGACGACGGTGTGGCCAACAACGCCCGGCCTGTGATGCCATGTGTGGGTGTGGCGGCCCGCGCTGAGGGACGTCTCAGATGGCTGGCCCGGCGGCCTTGCGGGGCCTTAACACTTCTGCTGTGCTGTCCAGTCGCATCATGGCAGGTGGCTTGGAGGTGACATAGGATGTGGCGTAGGACGTGACGCATCGGAAGCGCCATTTGTTGTTGATCGTAGTCATGAGGTACACTGGATGCTGCTCATATTTAGTGAAAAGGCATGTCCGGATTTCCGTGCAATAAAATATCAAGTACCCTTCTTTTCCACGCAAGTTATCCCCAAAGGTCTGTGGACAGATCGTGCGATAGGAGATGCGCGGGGCATGTTCGAAGCGCCGTTTACGGGTGATCTCATGATCGGCGGTGACGGGCCTTCGCAGCAAACGGATGACGTAAGGTTCGCTTATAGCAATGAACGAAGATGCGCTGGTAAGCAGCTTCGTTCATTGTGTGAACATGAGCCTAGTGCGGGCAGCTGACTTGCGCTACGCTCTCTCCAGCGCGCCAAGTGGTGAAACGAGACCTGATGGGCCTCAGATCGCGCGTGGCGGTGGGGCTGCTGCTGGCCACCGCTGTCATGTCGGGCTTTTGTGTTTGATGTACGTGACTTCAGTGTGCCCGCGATTTTTCCCCAAGACGATAATAAAGCATGTGGGATATGTTTATTGACAAGAGGCGAAGTTCACACCAATACCATAAAGCACACAAACACCACGGAAATCGGCTAGCACCTGCCTGCCGCGATGGCGACACCCGCCTATATCGCCTGCGCAGCTGCGCTCACAGGTGGCGTTTGCCGTGTCTAAAACAGTAGTTTTGCTCGACACAGGTTACGTACAAATCATGCATGGACATCTACGCACATTCACTGTATACATGAACCCGTAGACGATGACAACACCACGCTGTACAGATAGGTGACAAGACACTACAACCGATTCCTGGACCTAATTTGTACATAGCCGGCCGAGCGCCCGCGGAGCCTCACGCGCACCACGGAGCGGGGACTGGCGTCGGAGGCGGGCGGTGCGCCTCCCCAGTTGCCGGACACCGGGCGTAGCCACCAAGTGAGCGGGCGGCGTCGGTGGTGCTGTTACCGAGGCCAACCAGAGGAACGCGAACGTTAGCCGTCCCGCTCGCCGCGGGGGCGGCGCTAAAACTCTAAAAACTAAAGCTAAAACGCTCGAACACGATGGACCGGGTTCCATGCCCCGTGCACGGTCCCGATCTGTGCAAGCATGCCATCGAAGTAAAAAATATTTATAAAAATATGTGCATGGCAAAGAGCCGCTCGTTCACATTATACGAAATGGGCTACTGTGTGCTGAGTGTATTTGCTAAGGCTGCGGAAAGGCGCTAGACAAACCGGCATCGGTTTCTGTTTTCAGGTTCCGCCGCAGCTCCGGCGCTCTGTCGTCCGTAACTCAAACTTGTGGAACTCCGACGCACTCATTCGTCCACGCAACCCCCTGTGATCTGACTGCTTCCTTTTCCTCGTTCTTTACCCCGCTCCGATCCTCAGCATACCCGCTCCCGCTCAACATGCACGCAAAGGCAACTCCGAATGCATTTTCAATCTAGCAAGCGCTAGTAAGCAACTCACTGGGGTCCACTTGGGCCATCTCTACAGCACCGCTCTTGGGCTTCACTACGCTGCCGTCCCTGGGCACGGTAGCCTGGACTGAAAGTGGCCCGCCACTAGCTAGCGGGACTGGCTTCCGACGAGAGGGATGGGCAGGGTCCACCACAGCGTGGCTCCTGGTGTACCACGCAGGCACGGAGGCTGGTACAGATCTGACGTTTCGCACATCACAGCCAGATGAGCCAATTCAGTCGCCGTCAAACAACAGTTTGCCAGCGCATGCAATCCCCTCTCAGGAGTGGATGGGTTTCAAACCTGGGGACTTTTCAATGTCACACCAGTTACACGAAAGACCAACCCAACAAAAGACGCAAGCTCTATTGTTCACCGTCTTTGCAGGTCATCTTCCGTTATCTCTCTTCTGCGGCTGAATCCGCGATCAACACTCTGACACCTGAATAATTATTCATTTGAGGGCGTCTGCAACTAGTTATGAAACCCAACTCCATCAAGAGCTTTTGCTACACATGTCAAGTGCTGCCCCCCCCCCCCCCCACACCACACACATACACACGATTGCTACCTTAACATGTCATGCTCTATAGCTTCTGGTCGTACTCTCAACTCATTGCTTACAGGTGCAGTGTTTACCACTTCATTTTCCATACCTCATACTTCTCCTCATCTAAAGCCACCATGAAGCCATGCCAAAAGCCTTGTCTTTTCCCATTGAGACAGATGAGTGACCCCTCGGAGGTCCTCCTTTCGGCGCTGCCCGCCAGCCGCGCGGCTGAAGTCGCCACCTCAGCCGACACTACTGCTATCAGGTCCCATCGTGCGCTCTGGTCGCCGCGCTTCCACGGGCCATGGCCGCTCGGCGCAGCGCCGCGCTACTTGACAACGGCCAGCCCACACTTCGTCAAAGCCTGCTGCACCAACAGCGAACGCACTAGCACTACGCCGACACGCGCCTGGATATACTCGCGTGGCCGAAACCATGCCATACAGCTTGGGGCCATGTACTCGGAACACTCCTGATGGCGTCCAAACAAGGTGGAGCGGATTGAGGAAGCATTGCCTCCGCAACGAATGCAACGGCGTGCCCTTGGAGTAAGCACAGTGCTGTAAGCAGCTGATCATTAGGCAGCGGACAGGTGCCCCACCCGCCGCGTTCAATGAAGTCGTCGACACCCTGGATCTAAGCATTCTGACTTTTATCGCCACTCCCAACGCTGCAAATCAAGATCGCTTGCATGTAGAAAAGTCGGGGAACACTGCCGGCGCGCGCGACCGCGCCTATGGCCCGTCGCCCTCCGCCCAGGGCCGGCCCGGCCCCGTCCAGTTGTTTCCTCCGCTCAGGGCCGGCCCCGTCTAGCGGGGACGGCAGCTGGTGTCCCCTCCACTCAGGGCTGGCCCCGTCCAGCGGGGACGGCAGCTGGTGTCCCCTCCGCTCAGGGCCGGCCCCGTCCAGCGGGGACGGCAGCTGGTGTCCCCTCCGCTCAGGGCTGGTCCCGTCCAGCGGGGTCGGCAGCTGGTATCCCCTCCGCTCAGGGCTGGTCCCGTCCAGCGGGGACGGCAGCTGGTGTCCCCTCCGCTCAGGGCCGGCCCCGTCTAGCGGGGGACGGCAGCTGGTACTCGTCTCCCTGGTTCACCCATGGGCCGCGAGGATCGGGTGGCGAGCGGCCTGAGCTGGCCTGAGTGGACGGCTCGCCGGCGGAGCAGGCTCCCACGGCCACGACTTGTGCCGCTGCCCGTGGGCGGCGGGGACGCGGCTTTGGACGCTTGGTGCAGATACTGAAGAAATAACGAAAGTACTACAAAACAAGAAATAACGGCAATTGTTTATCGGAAATCAGGGATCTAGCGGTACAAGGCCGGAGTTTCACTTCTGCACTCTTATAGATGCCCTCTTCTCGCACGCGACTTTTCCTACATGGGAAGTTACGAGCAAAAGCGTACCGACAAACATACAATGAGATTTGTGATTTTCTGCCCAGTTTGCCTCGTGTTATGTCACGCATTTAAGCTGCGTATCTCAGAAATATATGTTATTGCCCGTTCAGTGTGTGATTCCAGGCAGCAGGGTGGCTGTGTTCACCCGTTCCTTGGTACAACGAACCTGAATTGCCCAGCAGCTCTGGTTTCAAGCTGAAAAAAGATCAGAATGACTGACTTTGGCACTGACTGGATGGCATGCGTTTATTCACGTGTAGAATCTGCAAAAACTGCTAACTATCCGTACATGTTTAAAACGGGGCCCTTTAGTAAAACATGGGAATGATTCAGTCATGCAACAGAGCTGTTTCCGGCACGCTTGGAGCTTTCGTTTGGACCGGGAGTGTGTCCGAAGTTTGCCCTACGGCGGTGCTGGGCAGGGTTAACCAAGACCATAAAGATACCTTAATCTATGGTCAGGGCCATAGATTAAGCCCATCGTACCCCCGCCCACTAAGCCGCCTAGAAAGCGAATGTCTACATTGTCTGTCACCACGCGCCACTCGCCGCACCCTCCTATAACGCTACGCAGCTTACAATCAATACCGTCCAGGTCCCCCAAATACTGCCACCTGTGCATCATCATCACCTCACGTCCGCCCTCCCACCCTCAACATCATTTAGAACCCCTCCTCATCCGCCTTTCTAGCGTGGTCACCCAACGCATCGTGCAATGGACCCCACACCATCGTACACAGCATATCTTACCCCACCCGGGCTCCGAAAAAAAACGCCTCACTTCCCCTAAGCAGCCGGAGTCAGCGGCAAATTCAATCAGCTCATAAATGGGAGACCGCAGTTGAGAAACAAACTTAGGCTTGAGAGCCCAAAATCGTCCCTTAAACGTGACATATCCCACTCAACGTCTTGAATTTAGCCACGCTGCACTCCATCTCATGCAAAGGTGTATCACTCCCATTCGTTCGCACACGCACCCACCAGACGCACTGAGCGTTCCTTTGTACTGGCATCAGCCCTGCTCGCGCAGCCGCGCCCTAGCCCAATCTCCTCTACAATACCGTTTGGAAATCACTTCATCTGTTCAATGGGATGTGGTTACTTGTGTGTATGTTTATATAGCTGTTACGGCTTTTCAAGTGAATTTCATCGCGGTTGTGATCTTCCAGCACTGGTGGCGTAATGGTTTTGTTTTTTATGTTGTAATGGTGCAATTGTTGGTCTAGGACTGAAAGGCATCCACTTTAACGAGTGGCGCCACTGACATGTGCCAGGCTATTCGTGGAAATTGTGGAAGCAAAACTGAATTCCACTCCATTGAGGAGGGAGTCAATGATTTTTTTTGTGTGCAAAACACGAGCACCAGACTGCGGGCATGGATTTTGTTCTTCGGCTCCGTGGTCACGGGCTGTAACTCACGCGGTAATCTGCTTGACGGACAGAATGTTTTCACAGGTTAGTTTTTTTGACGACACTGAGCCTTTTGTGATAAACTAGGCATCACCATTGTACTATTTCGCTGCCCGCTCTACGTTAATGCCTCTTCGCTTGTGCCAACAAGCGGTAATGTAACGAGGAATAAGATAAAGCATATCGTTAGCGTTGCGCAATACTTCCCAATCATGTTACGTGATGATATTGAGGTGTCGGAGATGGAATTGTTTCAAAATGTACGCGTGGGCGTATTGGGATTGAAAATAAGCCTTTTTTTAACAACGCCCTTGGACTCCATGTTAAGGTCAAGAGAAGCCGAGCCTGGAGTCCCCAAATACATGATTGGTTCAGCAAACATATGAGTATATAGTTTGCATACGTACATTCCAGGGAAAAATCAACGACCACGTTAAAACCGTTGAATCAGTACGTCAATTCGTTGTGCAGATTCTTAAAATGTCTTTGGGTTATTGCGGAATGAAAGGGAGGCATTTCGGAGTTTTCAAGTTTATGGAAGTGCCGGCGTTCCGTCTACAAGCAGCTCCAAGATCTTGTCGTGCCGCTCTTCCAGGAGCCTGTCATTCGTCAGGAATCTCACAGTGACCCCAGTGACTCATCTGTTACAACATTCAGGGCGTGGAATAACGGGCTTAAGTGTCCCGTATCGCCTAAACACAATGAATGATTCCAAATTACCTTAAGTAAACGGACGCCACTTTGTCTTAGCTTATCGCGCGAGGTTAACATGTGCACCAAGACTGGACAACATTTACCTATACAATCCGTACGCTGGACATTATGTACACACACATGCACACACACACACGCACACACGCACACTGCACGCTTGACAATGCATTTCTCCGAACCCACAAAAGGGAAACGCTGAATCAAGCACCATTTTGAACTGGCCGTTAACCTCTTAATCTTGACGAAGACGGTAGAGGCAAGCATATAAATCGAAACCAATCGCACGCGTGTCCAGTGAATTAGCCGCTGCATCACCACTGGGTCTTGTGTTTCTTAATGGACATGCTGCGCGCTTTGTTATATGGGGACTAAGTTTACGTCCGGCAACACCATCCCACAATGCCAAGTCACTGTGGCGCAACACTTCTCCAGGCACGGCTGTTCAATTAACAACACCAGAAGGAAACAGCCGCTCGGAATATCGAGGGAAATCTTCTCCTCCGTTTCCTTATTCGTGAGTTTTCATGTAAATGACGAGCCACCCGGCCAAGCCAGGCAGTTCGTGAGCTGAGCCTCCAGCCGTGCGCACCGCACCGCCCCGCGGCTGGCCGTCTGGCCGGAGAGCGTGTCTCGCGGGCGGCGCCACAGGTCAGTGTTGCACCAGCCGTCAACGCCGAGCCGGCAGCCCGGCACCGGGCAGCCCAGGCGCCCACCGACCGGCCGCCCCACCCACCGGCAGTTGTACACTGGTTTTGTATCTCGGACCGCGCGCTGCAGAGAGGCGCAAACAAAGACGCCGTCCGCCGGCCGTCGGCTGGCGCGGCAAACTCATTGGTGCGGGCGGGGAGCGCGCCGGGCCGTCCGACGGCTGCCGAGGCGCCCCGACGCCCGGCGGGTGGCCCCGCGCCCGGTGGCGGTTACGGCCGGCGCCGACGCATGCGACATGTACTTGCTGTTCTCAACCACGGATGTGTCTCAGAAGCGCTCCGCCGACAGAGCGGCCGCTTGTCAGGAAGCGGGTAAGAGCCGGAGAATCACGTCGGGTGCAGGGCAGGCCGTAGCCCGTATGTTGTGCTCGCGCGACGCTGGCAGCCCGGCGGCGAAGCGGGGGATTCAGGAACGGACCAGGAACGCTCGATGGGATCCAGGGATGCAGGAGGCTCGGTGGGATCTGGAGGGCAAGACCTGGGCGGCGGTGCGCCTGCATCAACGTCGCTTGCCTAACGCCGGTGGAGCAGAGTGAGCGCCAGCGCAGCGGCCAGCAGGCGGCCTGGCAGCGCCGTGCCGATGGCGGCGCGGCAGGGCGCGGTCGGGTGGCGTGCCTGCCGGCCCTGGTTGCTCGTCACCAGCTCGCCGGCGCAGTCGGCCTCGTCCTCGCCGCCATCGCAGTCCTGCACCCCATCGCACCTGTCGACAGAGCATCACCGGTCACGCCGCGCACTGGCCGAGGACCGGAACCCCGGAGATGACTACGCTAGCATTGACCACCGCTGAGGGTCTATGGCACTGGCACGGCTGTTGGAATTCTGAGTGAGCTGCCGTGGTTTGCGTGGGCGCGTCTTTACACCGATGAGTTCTCGGGCGCCACACGCTCCCTCTGGGCGCACCCTTGCATTTCATTTCCGATGATGTCGTCGCTGTCGATTCTGCTGCGCGTCGAGTTCAGCGCGGAGGAGCCATTTCATCTCCGTTCGGGCGAGCGGGAGGTAAGCCGGCCGTCTGATATTGCTCAACTTGTGGCCGACCGCCGCGGGCACCTCCGCGCCGATGTCACGCGAGTCCAACAAAGAGCGCGCGGGGATGTCCCAGCCACTTGGCGTTCTGCGGCGCGACTCGGCTCTATGAAATATCAAATCCGGCGTTAAAACGCGCCGTAAATCTCTCGCGACGGCAGCCGCAAAATTTTATTATTTGACCTGTTTGAATATTCTAGTTGCCGCAGTTTTATTGCCGGCGGCGGCGGGCGGCGCTGCAATATGAGGAGAAGCCGCTCTAAATACAGCCGGCCGTTCACTGCTGATCACGGACGGATCGGATGGGGATGCGGTGCGCGTGCCGAGAGGGCCGCCCCGCCGGCGGTGCGCGCCGGCCGCTCACGATAACCGGCCGTGAACACTGCGCGGCTGACGACCGGCGCCTCTAATGGTGTTGGCCATTTGGCCCGCGGCTATATTTTATCCGCCGCGAGTTGGTCGGCAGCGGAGCCGACTATTATTGCGCCCCACCGGGGTGCTCTTTGTGTGATGCACTGCCGGCTGACCTGTTGCGTGCCGGCGGCGTGCGGCACGCTCCCGCCGGTGATGACGTCAGCGGTAGTGACGTCACCGGCGCCTGAGAAGAGCGGCGGCGGCCACCCGAGCCGATGCCGGTGATCTACAGGGGCCGTTCAGGTGGTCTGACGCACGCAAGCCGGCGAACAAAGAGAGTGGCTGATGGCGTCGTCCGTTGCCAGTGATATCCTTCTCTTTCCCGCGAAAAGTGCGCTGATTGAAGCCTGTTATCTGCATTGGATCCAACTGGCAAACCTGTTTATCAAATTGGTGGACGTCAGCGTCCCATTCTAAGGCCAAGAGCGTTACAGCCGCCTCGACTCCGGGCAATGGGTGGGAGATACGGCTTCCCAGTCGCCTGCAGTAAATAACGGCTTCGATAAACAATTATGGGGCTTTGAGCGGCGAGCACTGGCGAGGGAATGGCGTCGACAATGGTCTCTTAGTGGTCGTATCTCGGCGCCCGCGGCTGGAAACTGTCTGCCGTGCTGCGCGGGGAGCTCAGCACCACCGCCAGACGGCGCGAGTTCAGCACCGCTGTCAGACGGCGCGGGGAGCTCTCCATCGCCGCCAGACGGCGCGGGGAACTCAGCACCGCTGCCAGACGGCGCGGGGAGCTCCGTACCGCCGCCAGACGGCGCGAGAAGTTCAGCACCGCCGCCAGACGGCGCGGGAGCTCAGCGCCGCTGCCAGACGGCGCCGGAAGCTCAGCACCGCCGCCAGACGACGCGGGAGCTCAGCACCGCTATCAGACGGCGCGGGAGCTCAGCGCCGCTGCCAGACGGCGCGGGAAGCTCCCTATCGCCGCCAGACGGCGCGGGGAGCTTAGCACCGTTGCCAGACGACGCGTGGCGCGCCACCGCACCAGTAGACCAAGGTACCGGGGTGACTAGGCAGACTTCAGTCCAGCGGACGAAAAAGTGAACCCCCGCCCACTCAACCCTCGCAATGCGGCAATAGCTGTCAACCGCCAATGTGCAAGACAGGGTGGCAGTCTCAGTTGTGAGGGAACCTGCCCTCGCCTTTCCTTCCGAACACCAGCGCTTAACAGATGGCACATGAGAGTCCGGCTTGCACCTGTGCGCGGAATCCGGCAGGACAGAGCGTGCCTCACCTGCGGTCGGCCTGAATGCAGAGGCCGGAGGCGGAGAGCCGGCAGCGGTAGGCGCCGGCCCGGCAGACGCGGCACACCCGCTCGTCCTCGCCGTGTGTGCAGTCGGGCCGGCCGTCGCAGCGCGCCGTCGCCGGCATGCACCGCGGCCGGCCCTCGTCCAGCCAGCACCGGAACTCGTCCGGCCGGCAGCAATCGTGCTCGTCCGAGCCGTCGGAGCACACCGCCACGCCGTCACACCTGCGGCCAGGGCACGCGGCCGTACGTCGAGCTCCCCCGACGACAACATACGCCGGCGCCGTCAGTGTACACCTGGCGAGAGCTGACGCCTCCAGTATCTACTCATCACGCATGCCGAAGTCCCGCACGTCACGCCTCCCACAGCTACAACACGACCACAGGCCACTGCGAGTGGCGCCGAGCACCGCAGCGAGACGACCCCCGGTCGGAGGTGACCCGGGTCGCCCAGTGGCGGTCCGTCGGCCGCCCCCGGTGCCGCCGGTGCGCACCTCTCGAACCGGTGGACGCACTCGCCGTTGGCGCACTTGAAGCGGCTCTGGCCCGGGCAGGCGTCGTCCAGGCAGCGGGCCGGCTCCTCGTCGCTGGCGTCCTCGCAGTCGGGCACGCCGTTGCACTTGCCAAGCTCGGGGATGCAGCGCCGGCTGGTGACGCATTTCCAAGCTGCGGCAGCGGCCGTTCGTTGGTCGCTGTACGCGGTCCCAGGGGCGCGCACGAGCGGCACAGCGGGGGCACGGAACACTCCACCAGATGCAAGCTGCGGCAGCGGCCGTTCGTCGGTCGCTGTACTCGGCTCCAGGGGCGTGCACGAGCGGCACAGCGGGGGCACGGAACACTCCACCAGATGCGAGCTGCGGCAGCGGCCGTTCGTCGGTCGCTGTACGCGGCCCCAGGGGCGCGCACGAGCGGCACAGCGAGGGTACGGAACACTCCACCAGATGCGAGTCCAGCTGGCAGACACGAGACACGAGGCACGAGGCACGAGTCCAGCTGGCAGAGTGTGCACATTGTAAGCTGGAGACGCGCGGCCCTAATGTCGTCTGTGGCTTGTATTTTAGTGTGGCAGTGCTGCAATGTATTTTAAGTGGTGTTACAGGCCTGTCTTGCAGGAGACGAGGCGCCAATCGCTGGAATTCAATTAAACTTCTGACACATGGCTTCACTGCAGGGCGGGTCTAGCTTGTCAGAACGCGACCAGAGCCTAAGGCGTCTCCGAGGTCGCCCTCGCCGCTCGCTAGGCCCCTGGCGCATTGCTGGACCCGATCGATGGACATCGGGTCATTTTGACTTTTTTGGTGGCCGGTAAACGCGCAAAGCGTGGCATTAAATGCCTAGCAGCATGTTAAGCGGTGGTTAGCTGAAAGTGGCCCGGTTGTCGCAGCGTCTGTGGGTCGCAGTGGGTCGCTGGGTGGGTCGCAGCGTCGTTGGCGCCCAATCTAGGCTCCTGTTACATAAATTGACCGCCGCAAGGTGTCCCGATTCTGATTTACGTCTGTACGTACCCCCGTATTTTGCGTACCATAAGCTTCATGGTTCCTCCGCGTCAAAGTGAGCCAGCTCTGAGTGGTGTTCTGCTCAAGGCTAGCTAACGGTTTTTACAGTTGTTTTACAAGGTAAAAGTCTGTCTAGCAAAGGCGCGCCTATTGTGGCCTACGTATGCTCTAAGTACCTTTACTGTTATCTGCCAATCGTCAGACTACAATAAAGAGATAGTTCCACCTCTTGGTCTATTCCAAAACCCCACTGAGGGGAAAAGTTTATGGCCACAGTCCCTTGCGATTCCACCGAAATGTGCGCCGGCATCGTGCACGGCAAGGCATAAGCAACAACAAAAAGCAAACAAAATACCACTTTTCGCTTGCATAAGGCTGGACCATGCCCGGGGCATTTCACCACAAGACAGCCAAAACTTAAAACCCTCGTATCTTAAATCGCATTCGGGTCGGCTTATAGGGTGAACACAGGCGCAGAGCCAGCTATGACAGCGAAAACATATCCGAGCAACGTCTCTCGAGATATAGCCCCGCGCAATTGTCATAGGTCACATTGAAAGTACAATTTTGGCAATGCCATTCATAAACTATCATTCTGGTCATAGTAAGCCCCATCCGATTTCAGTTGTAATGAGTCAAAGAGCACGTTGGTCATCTTAGATTTTCACGTTCTATCAAGATTTGATCACATGACCATGTGCCCTAATGTTTTCACAGGGATTTTACCTGCTGACAAGTAAATGTTGAATTCTGTCTGAGGGCAATCTAAGCTTTACCAACGCCTTTTCGGATCAGAAAACAAAAAAAGGCTTTCGTCCTACGAACATATTTTTAAGCTTCACGAAGTTGACTGTAGGTCGCGCTGGTGGTCCAATGGTTTATCTCCGAGCTGAGGGAAGAACAGGGATGCAGTAAGCGAAGTTTAGTGAACCTGGACACTGCAGGGGTAAATTTATTTAAATTAAGGTTACGTGACCTAAGGTCAGGACCAAGGTTATATTCAGCCCAACATTTCCATCCGACAGGTTTTGCGAAGAACATTCATACCTGCTGATATTAAGATGCCGACAAGACTGTTGACTTTATTCTTGTTAGCTCTGTGTGCTATCTCCTGCTCTGCATGCATACAAGCATGGTATGGTGCGTCACGCTCTGATCATGGCCGGGTGCGGAGAGCGTCGGCCGGCGGTTCGGCCGCGCTCTCCAGTGCTCCAGATTATAGTGTCCGCACACTTCGGGTGTGTTCGAAACAACCCAGACGACGCAGAATCTATGCTGTCGACGATACTTATGACGTCATGCTTCATAGATCCCGCGCCGTTTGGTGTTTACAGCGACCCGAACCGCAAAGATTCTATGTGACGTGACGTAGAATCCTTGTCGGACACGCATGATCCTTTCCTGATGTTTTGTATTTGTTGTTTATTGGGGTTTTAGGGCACGTCGAATACATTGCCATTTTGCTCCCAAATCCCTTCCTACAACTCGATCGGAGTGAGACATAAACGACACGACAGATGCAATTATAAATAGGTCAGTTTGCGTAACCAGGACCGACCTCAAGTGATGAAAAGGTGCTTTAAACGTTACAAGGAGCATAATTTGCGGCCTCCATTCTTAGGAGCCCTGAAACTACCTGGACACGAAAATCGTTTGTCTTTGCATCTGCATTTTTATCACGACAGTTACGAAGACGCAAACAAAAAAATTGGTCGAGCCGCGAACACACTCGGCCAAGATTCTACGCGACGACACGTAGAAAAGAACACTCTTGGTGCGCTAAGACCAACCCTTGAGCTAAGTCGTGTGGGTCATGTGACAGGCGAGTGCGGCGACAGTGTCCACCGGGCCGCGGGCACAGAGCGGATCGGAGACAGGGATGGAGAGCGGACCGGGGAGCGGGGACAGAGAGCGGACCGGGGATGGGGACAGAGAGCGGACCGGGGATGGGGACAGAGAGCGGACCGGGCCGCGGGGACAGAGAGGAAACCGGTAATGGGGACAGACAGCGGACCGGGGATGGGGACAGAGAGCGGACCGGGGAGCGGGGACAGACAGCGGACCGGGCCGCGGGGACAGAGAGCGGTTCGGGGAGCGGGGACAGAGAGCGGACCGGGGATGGGGACAGAGAGCGGACCGGGGATGGGGACAGAGAGCGGGCCGGGCCGCGGGGACAGAGAGCGGACCGGACCGCGGGGACAGAGAACGGTTCGGGGAGCGGGGACAGAGAGCGGACCGGGGAGCGGGGACAGAGAGCGGACCGGGCCGCGGGGACAGAAAGCGGACCGGACCGCGAGGACAGAGAGCGGTTCGGGGAGCGGGGACAGAGAGCGGACCGGGGAGCGGGGACAGAGAGCGGACCGGGCCGCGGGGACAGAGAGCGGACCGGACCGCGGGGACAGAGAACGGTTCGGGGAGCGGGGACAGAGAGCGGACCGGGGAGCGGGGACAGAGAGCGGGACGGGGAACGGGGGATAGAGAGCGGACCGGGGATGGGGACAGAGAGCGGACCGGGGATGGGGACAGAGAGCGGGCCGGGCCGCGGGGACAGAGAGCGGACCGGACCGCGGGGACAGAGAACGGTTCGGGGAGCGGGGACAGACAGCGGACCGGGGAGCGGGGACAGAGAGCGGACCGGACCGCGGGGACAGAGAACGGTTCGGGGAGCGGGGACAGAGAGCGGACCGGGGAGCGGGGACAGAGAGCGGGCCGGGCCGCGGGGACAGAGAGCGGACCGGACCGCGGGGACAGAGAACGGTTCGGGGAGCGGGGACAGAGAGCGGACCGGGGAGCGGGGACAGAGAGCGGGACGGGGAACGGGGGATAGAGAGCGGACCGGGGATGGGGACAGAGAGCGGACCGGGGATGGGGACAGAGAGCGGGCCGGGCCGCGGGGACAGAGAGCGGACCGGACCGCGGGGACAGAGAACGGTTCGGGGAGCGGGGACAGACAGCGGACCGGGGAGCGGGGACAGAGAGCGGACCGGACCGCGGGGACAGAGAACGGTTCGGGGAGCGGGGACAGAGAGCGGACCGGGGAGCGGGGACAGAGAGCGGGCCGGGCCGCGGGGACAGAGAGCGGACCGGACCGCGGGGACAGAGAACGGTTCGGGGAGCGGGGACAGAGAGCGGACCGGGGAGCGGGGGACAGACAGCGGACCGGGGAGCGGGGACAGAGAGCGGACCGGGGAGCGGGGGACAGACAGCGGACCGGGGATGGGGACAGACAGCGGACCGGGGATGGGGACAGACAGCGGACCGGGGAGCGGGGGACAGACAGCGGACCGGGGATGGGGACAGACAGCGGACCGGGGAGCGGGGACAGAGAGCGGACCGGGGAGCGGGGACAGAGAGCGGACCGGGGAGCGGGGGACAGACAGCGGGACGGGGAACGGGGGATAGAGAGCGGACCTGAGTGCCGTATGGGTACAATGATGCTGAGAATGTCACAGTGTTCAGTGATCAGTGTATTGGTACAGCCAGCAAGGGTCACTTTATTTCCAGCAATAGCAAGAAAAACAGCAGGTTCCGATATGCATGCGTTTCCTGGGTTTGTGTGTGTGTTGGATGGTTGATTTTACATGAGCACGTTTTATGTTGATTTTATATGCGTGTTTCAGAGGTTGTTTTTGGCCGTGAAGTCCAGTTGAATGGACAGTTTAAGTTATATGCTTATAATGGTTATGATTATCATTCAAGTTCAAAAGATTGCACGATGTTGCGCAGCCGATATGGGGTACATAAAAAAACACATGATCAAGCTATGAGGATGGGCATCGGGAGACTCGGTCAAGCGTGTGAATGGCCCCCAGCTCGGCATCGGCTGGTTCTCTGCGATCGCTGCCGAAATAAACTGGTTAAGGACCGAAGCAGTCTGCCACCAGAAGGAAGATGTGTGAGTACATGTGAGGTTGATCCGAGCCCCGAACGAGCGCGGCTTACATCTGGATTGGCCGATCAACGACACTGCGTCAGACGTCGAAGTGCACCAGACACTAATGAGGCGAACTTCAAACATCTCTGATGATGGATAATTATAGAGGGGTTGACAACCGATCGGAAGCGTTTCGTCGACACTGACCAGCTGTGGAAGGTGGCCGGCGCTGTCAAGAGAAAGCTGGAACAAACCGTGGACGTCGACATCCCGACAACAAGCACCATCCAAAGAGA